ATGTTGTTGGACCTGGACTATCTGCTAAGCTTGAGCCTCTTTCCCATCGTCGTAAAGTTGCATCTCTTTCTCTTTTCTACAAATACTATCATGATCACTGCTCAAAGGAGTTATCATCTCTAGTTCTATCAACTAAAATTCATTCTCGTTTTACTCATCATTCAGCTAAGTCTCATTCGTTTACTGTATCTGTCCCTGCATGCTCTAAAAACTCTTATTCATCTAGTTTTTTTCCCCGCACTTCAATCCTTTGGAACTCTCTCCCATCTTCATGTTTTCCTGACTCATACAACCTTCAACTTTTCAAGTCTTCTGTCAACTGTTTCCTTGCTCTATAACTCTATTCTTTTTTTTCCTAGTAACTCCCAACTTAATAGTGGTTGCTTGCAGCCTTGTTGGGAGTGTGGGAGTGAATGCAAATAAAAAAAAATATATATATATATATATATATATATATATATATAAATTAGTAAAAAAAAAATACTTGACATATAATGACAAGAGAAACTGACAGTAGGAGCTTAAAGGGATCCCCAACTCAGCCGAGGATCCCCAACTCAGCCGAGACAAGTTGTGTTCATATTAAAGAAAATGTTTTAAAAAACATATGGGCTAAATTTTTTTGATTAAAAATTTATAATTAATGAACACCATTAAATTTAAAATTCAAGTTTTAGTCGAAGCTCGCCGTGTCCATTTTTTTTGGTTCTTGGAGTCTGTATAATGTTAGCCGCAATCTGAAGACTTGATAATTTATTCCATGCGTTTTAATTCTTAACAGTTTCAGTATATGACGTCATCGTATAAATTTTTCTTTCAAGATGTCGTATTATTTTTTTGCCAAAATCACCAAATCATGTTAATTGTATAACTTTTTACTAAATCCGAAAAAAAAGTTTATGATACAATTAAAAATTAAATTTATAAAAATAAAAATTTAATATATAACGAATATTTACAGTAAAACGTACTGGTTTAAACTAAATATAAACTAGATACTAAAAGAATAATTTTACTAAAGCTTATAAATTAATTTAAAGTATAAACTGAAAAAAAAAAACGAGTGACTTGAATAAAACATATAAACTGAACTAAGTAGAAAATAAATATTAAATAACTTATTTTAATAATAACTGTTCAAATCAAACTAAATTAAAGTTAAAACAAATATTTGTACTAAAATATAAAAGAAAAAGTTATAATATAAATACAGAAAAACAAAGAATCGCATTAAATTGTTCGCTACCAGCTGAACAAAAATCTTTTAACAAAAATCTTTTTGTAGCAACCGCACATTTTTTTGAATAACGTTTGAATAGCATAACATTGACAATTTATTAAAATTCGATAATAATAGCGTTTTTAACACGCTTCATTAAACAATAAGAAATACTAAAACATTAAGTCTAAAACAAACCTCATTTAATGAATAAAAATAATATTTTTCTTCAAAATACTTTGGTAATTACTTAACTAAATACTTAACACTTCTACAAGTTAAGTTTTACAGTGTTAAAACTGTTTTATATTATAACTAAATTAAAATTTTTTTTTATGATAGATTATTCAAAATTTTATAACTTTGTGATATTTTTTTTATAATTACACAATTATAGAAAAAATAATTACACAATTATAAAAAAAAAATAAGAGTGCATAATTACACAATTATACACTCTTATTTTTTCTTGATTATGCAGAGAATTAATTAAACCTTCAAAACAATCAAATTCTATGTGTCTAGAATGGAAATTTATGTACTAAACAAGATATATTTGAATAATTTTTTACTAAATCACAAATATTTTTTGTGTTTTAGTGAAAAATTATACAAATATTTAATTTTCTGATTGTAGTAGAAAAAGATAAAACATCTTAAAAAGATATTGTGATGATGTCATATACCGAAACTGTTATGAATTAACACGCATTTAATAAATTATCAAGTCTGCAGATTGCAGCTAACATTATACAGACCCCGAGAACCAAAAAAAAATGGAGAAGGCAAGCTTCAACTAAAACGCTAATTTTAATTTTGTTGGTATGCATTCATTATTTAGTTTCAATCAAAAAATTTTAGCCTAAACGTTTTTTTTAAACATTTTCTTTAATATGAACGCAACTTGTCTTGGCAGTTGGGGATCTCTTCAAGTTAGTTAAGTGTTTTTTTACTAATTTATTACTGCCCTGTTCTTTAAGAACATTGAGCACTCTTTTTGTAAAATACACTAATATATTTTTGATATATATATATATTTATATATATATACACTTACTAAAGCGTGTTTTAATAAGCATTTGCTCACTTTTTCTGCTTACCATAAGCTATACCGTTTTTTTCGAAAAAGAAAAAGAAAAAACAAAGAATAATGAATAAAATGATTGCTTCCCCATCCCTAACCCTCAGTCGATGTAGCAGCACTCCACTGTGAGTTAGGCTATTTGTCAGTCGATGTATGTACTGAAACCCCCAGCAGCAGGCTATTTCAGTATGACGTCAGATTTTTTACCTTAGTACGCAATACTATTTGTATATATATGTATAAACATATATATATATATATATATATATATATATATATATATATATATATATATATATATATATATATATATATATATATATATATATATATATATATATATTTATATATATATACACATATATATGTATACAAATATACAAATGTATATATATAAATATATACATATAAATATATATATATATATATATATATATATATATATATATATATATATATATATATATATATACATTTATATACATACTTTTTTTCATCTCAAGATCACCTTCCTGTAAATTTTAAATCATTTGTTGTTTACAAATTTGTTTGTGCAAGATGTAAATCCGGTAATATTGGCAAAACTTCTTGCCACTCAAAGACACTAATGTTTGACACTACAGAAGGAAAAAAAAACTCGCTTATCTAAAAGCATCTTTACTCTAAAGAAAAATGTTTTACTAAATATAGTGATGAATGCTTTTCCACTTTGGATCGTGCCAATAACAAAATTGAATTAAAACTTAAAGCAAGTATTCATATAGGAAAAAAACCCAATATGAATAAACAAGTAAATCATGTAAAAATGATTCTTACCATTTAAAATAATTTATCGGTTCTTTTGTTGTAATTGTCAATAATTATTAATAATTTTTTTTTTGTATATATATATATTTTTTTTATACCGTTTATATATTATATATTTTATACCATTTTTAACAAATATATTTTAACTAGTGATGACTATATATAGTCAAAACATGTCTTAAAATAATAAAATGTTTTTGAATAAAATTAAAAAAGTTGTCTAATTTTTAAAAGTATTTTCACATTTTGCGCTGAGAAGAAGTTTTGGAAATATAATAAATGACATGACACACAGTCATAAAAAATTTTCTAAAAGTGATTTGAGAACTTAAAAAACTACACATTAAGTTGGATAAGGCTAATTTAGACATTAAGTTTTTAAATAGTGTTAGAACTTTTGGAGTTCTACTGAAATTAGCGTGTTTTAATTTACCTGGTCTAAACTGGATTCTTGTTTGATAAGAAAAAGATTACTCTGCAGTGCAATAGTCAGATGCAACAAGGGGAAACTACAATTTTGTAAAGAAATTACTCTTATTGAAGCCATTTTCAAAGTGAATTTATCTTCAATAGATTGGTTTATTTTGATCAAAGCTTTGAATTGCAATACCCAAAAATAAATGGAAAAATTTATAAAAATTTATGAAAAAAAATTATCAAAGTACAAACGTAGGAAAATGTTTTTTAAAATTAATTGACAAATATAAAAAAATTATCAAATGGCAAAATTACTCCATTATATGCTTCCGATATCATCACAAATTGCTCTTCACATAAATTTTTGGATGACGAGTCAGACATCCTTAAAAATGGTGTAAAATTTTTCAATTCCATCTGAACGTCGACGTTCTGATGTATACTCTTTCTTTGAACTCATCAGTCTTCAAGTTAATTTTAAAATGAATGACAATTCTGGAAAACTAAAAGATGAACTATCTTATCATGCCAATTCATATATATATAACCATCTGAAGAAACTTTAAAAAAGCATGGCATTTAAAAAAAAACTAAGTAAAAATCCGGATATTGTCATTTTCAAACCAGATAGAGGAAATGGTGTTGTTAAGTTGGATAGGAAGATTTATGACAATGGGATTTACAATATTATTAATGATCCAACTAAATTTAAACACTTAAAAAAAGATGTCACTATTAATAGGAAATTGCGACCTCAAAAACTTCTTGAGGAAACTCAAAAGTCAAGCTTTCCTTGATGTTTCGAATTTATTTTTTATATTAATTTTTGTTATTTTTATTTATTTATTTTATATTATATCTCATTTTTAACTTCATCTATTTACAAAAATGATTAATTACAATAATGTAACCAAATTTAAACATTGTCATAACCCTAACCATAAGCCTGACCTTACTGCCTGGCCTAACCAAAACCTCAGTCGATGTAGCAGCACTCCCTTGCGAGTCAGGCTATTTGTCAGTTGATGAATGTACTTTTCATTCTCTATAAAAGTTTCGTACAGGTACATATTTTTACAAAAAAAAATAATGCTTACGAGGACAAAAAATTAATGGGTACACTAAAAAATCCCCAATAATGCTAATGTCCCCATAAGTGTTTGTTCTTTTGTAAAATCTGTCCCCATAATGTATGTATTATATTCAAATACATATAGGCAAATAGTTAAAACCCAGTACGTCTGGAAGTAGCAACTTACTAACCGTTTCTCTGTACAGCGATAACCTATTTTTTTATGCAGCAACCTTGTTCATTGAGATTATTGTTTTGGATTAATAAAGTTAAAGAACAAGTTATAACAACAATTAGGAAATATGTCATAATAATAACTCTCATATTATTTGCCCCTTATACCCACCCCAACTAATAAAAAAAGTAAAAAAAAAACTTTACCTTTAAAAAATAAAGCATACCTTTTTCATTTCACAACTGTTTTCATGCCTAAAAATGTAACCTTAAAAGTATAACATATTGACAAATATGATTTTATTAAGATAATAAATTAAAATTATAAAAAAAAAATATATTTATATATATATATATATATATATATATATATATATACATTTATATATAAACATATACATATATAAATATATATATATATATATATTTATATGTATATATATATATATATATATTTATATGTATATAAATATATATATATATATATATATATATATATATTTATATATATATATATATATATATATATATTTATATTGTTGTTTTGATTATTTGATAATAATCACCTCTTTTTCAATTTGAGAGTGATCAATATAAAGTAAAATAATCACAAAATAGATCAATAAATAAATAAAAGGTTAGATAAGAAAAAACAACTTTTTTTACGGTATTTAAAGTTTCATGCCGTTTTTGGCACTCATCAGCCATATATTTAAATCAAGAAAAAACTGTTTAAAAATGCAATTAAAAAACCGTTACAAAACTCAAAAAAAAACAATGGAATGAGTTCCGATGTCAAATAATTATAATAATAATAATAGCAATAATAATAATAATAATAATAAGAACAATAGCAATAATAATAATAACAATAATAACAATATGGAAAAAACTAAACTTTTTTTCTAATCACCAAAAACAAATTGAGAAAAGAGGAATCTGTTTCTATGTCTGTACTTAGAAACAATCTCACTCCTTTTATTTTGTAGATTATTATTTTTATAATTTAGGATTTCATATTTTTCGGTGAGACATAATTTACAATATTTGGATGTTGGATTATTTGATTAGCAGTTTGTTATTATTAGGAAAATGTTTGTCAATTAATTTTTAAAAACATTTTCCTACATTGGTACTAACATTTTTGCTAAATGGAAGAATAAATCGAATGATGTTGCTTGTTTTGTTCCGTTTTCGAGTTGATATTGCTTTAGGATTATATGTTAGACTACATTTAAAACCAGACTTTAATAAAGCTTCATTATATAGAGGAATATTATGTTGAAATATTTCTTTTGTAGAAGAATTTGTAGATAATCTAAGTTCAACCGAGTGTGGTATTTGTTTTAGTATACTTGGTGGGTGATTTGAATCAGCATGGATATAATTCAATGTATTATCAGGTTTAAAATAAGGTTTAAAAGTTATTGAGAACAAACTCATTGATCTCGATAGATAGCTTTTGAGAACAAACTCATTGATCTTGTAAAACACATTAAGGTACACATCAATTTTCAAAATAAACTAAAGCAAGATATAAACACTATTCGAAAATCTAATCTAACTTACACGTATGCTGATAAAACTTCTAATCTTTACAAATTATCTAAAAATGATTATAACCACTTGTTAAGAAACTCAAACATAATAAATAAAGTGAACATAGAAGGTAAACATCTTTTGAAAAATCATGAAGTTTTCAATAAAAATTGATATTAATACAGCTTCCAATTGTTTTATCACCTTAAAAGATCATAAAGATAATTTTGAAAACAATCCGACTGTCTGTCTATTGAATCCTGCTGAAAATGAGGTTGGTAGAATTAGTAAAGATGTTCTTTTTAAAATTAATACAGACCTAAGAAGTAAATTACAATTAAATCAATGGAAAAACACTCGAAATGTTATCCATTGGTTTAAAGCCATAAAAGACGAACACCTTTGAAAAATTTTAATTTTTGATGTCATTGACTTCTACCCTTCTATTAGTAAAACACTTTTAAAAAACTCTATCAAATTTGCAGAGCAACACTTAACACTAAATAAAGAAAATATATCATTAATTTTTCATGCAAGAAAGTCTTTGTTTTTCAATAATAATCAGGTTTGGATAAAGCAATCAAGTGGTTTATTTGATGTTTCCATGGGAGCTTTTGATAGCGTGGAGGTTTGTAAGCTGGTAGGAATATTTCTTCTTTTTGAAATTTCAAAACTTTATAACAAGTTTGAGGTTGGTTTATACCATAACGATGGCTTAGCAGTTTTCAGTAATAAAAGCGGCCCTCAAATGGAAAAAATAAAAAATAATATTGTCGAAATATTTAAATACAAAGGCTTATGGATTTCTATACAATGCAACATGAAAATTGTCAACTACCTTAACATTACTCTAAATCTTAGTGAGTGCACTTTTAAACCTTATTTTAAACCTGATAATACATTAAATAATACCCATGCTGATTCAAATCACCCACCAAGTATACTAAAAAAATACTACACTCGGTTGAACTTAGATTATCTACAAATTCTTCTACAAAAGAAGTATTTCAACATACTATTCCTCTATATAATGAAGCTTTATTAAAGTCTGGTTTTAAATGTAGTCTAACATATAATCCAAAAGCAATATCAACTCGAAAACAGAACAGAACAGGCAACATCATTCGGTTTAATCTTCCATTTAGCAAAAATGTTAGTACCAATGTAGGAAAATGTTTTTAAAAATTAATTGACAAACATTTTCCTAATAATAACAAACTGCATAAAATCTTTATCAGAAACACAGTCAAAGTTAGCTACAGTTGTATGCCAAATGTAAAATCGATCATAAATTTGTACAACAAATACATTTTATGCAATGATACAAACTTTAATTTAAAAAAACTGTAACTGCTTAAATAAAAATCTCTGCCCGTTGTCCAATAAATGTTTAACAAGCAACATTGTATACCAAGCAACTGTAACCTCCACTAATACTGATTCATCTCCTAACAAAAAATCCTACATTGGTGTAAGTGAGACTTCTTTCCAATTGAGATATGCTAATCACATTAAATCTTTTAACATACCAAAATACAAAAATGATACTGAGCTCTCAAAGCATGTATGGAAAATAAAAGAAGCCAATTTAGTTCCTATAATTAAGTGGAAAATTCTCAGGCAATGTAAAAGATGTTTTTTCCATATTGTTATTATTGTTATTATTATTATTGCTATTATTGCTATTATTGTTATTATTATTACTATAAATAATTTTTATTATTATTTGCCGTCAGAACTCATTCCATTGTTTTTTTTTAATTTTGTAACGGTTTTTTAATTGTATTTTTAAACAGTTTTTTTGAGCGCCGAAAACGGCATGAAACTTTAAGTACCGTAAATAAGTTGTTTTTTTCTCATCAAACCTTTTATTTATATATATTTATATATATATATGTATATATATTTATATATATATATATATATATTTATATATATATATATATATATATATATATATATATTTATATATATATATATATATTTAGTTATATATATATATACATATATATATATATATATATATATATATATATATATATATATATATATATATATATATATATATATATATATATTTATATATATATATATATATATATAAATAAACACAAACAAATTTGGCCAAATTTTTGTCATATATATATATATATATATATATATATATATATATATATATATATATATATATATATATATATATTCGTAGAGTTTGACATTTAAAACTATCATTTGTGGTAAAAAACAGCTCTTAACGACTCTTTTTGTTTAAAGACAAAATTGAGTACACTTTAAGTAACTTTATATAAGCAACTTTTTTACCTCAACTTGTTACCTCCTTAGTTCAATTAACAGTTCTATTTTTTGTTGGCAAACAATAAGTTATAAACAATAATTAATTATATATAAATTTTTTGTGTTTATTTAGAGGATTTTGGATTAAATATTGGCAAACAGATTTGTTTTTTTATTTTGAGAACTATATACAGTTAACTCACAGCTTTTTAAAGCTAAAAAAATATAAAAAAAAGAGCTAACAGCTAAACATTTTTTATTAAATTTTTGTTTATAAAAAAAATGCTAGTACACAACATTATTGGAAGTAACTGTAACCAATAAATGTAACCAATGCTCAAAGAAGTTTATATACAATTTTCTCATTTTAGAACAGTATATTGATTTAACCATTTAAATTCACACTTTTAAAATTTTATTTTTACTTTGTTATGTCTACTGTTTTTACCTTGCAAAGAAGTAGGGCAAGGAGGCCAGTATTTTATTTTTATTACATTTTATTTGTGTTACAATCCTCACTCAAATCAATAAATCTAAAATATGAGCTTTTTAAAAAAGACTGATGCGCAAAGAAACAAGTCAAGTACAGTATTACCAGAAATAGTAGGGATCAAACTTAATACTTCTCATAAGCTACCACTACTATCCTTTTTAAATGCAGTAGTGGTGTAGTGGTAGAGCGCTTGCTTCATAAGCGAGAGGTTCTGAGTTTAATCCCAACCACGTCCCTGGTAGTACCGCGCTCAACTTGTTTCTCCGCGTAGCGGCCTTGTTCATCAAGGTTCGTGTTTCGGGGTTATAGAGTTGGGAGATGGTTATAACCACAAATAGGAAGTCTCCTCGTCTGTAGTGGCCTTATCAGCCTTGAGGAGGTGAATTAACAAAAAATATATATATATTTAGACTATTATCACTTAAATATCTACTACAAAAATAAACAAACATGAATGTTTGTTCATTTACAAAAATAAAACATTTTCTATAAGAAGCATTTACTTGAGTTCTTTTTTTACATTTTCATCATTATTGAAGCCAAAATTTTCTGATTGATTTTCTAAATAAAAAATTTGACAAAAAATTACCATCACATTTTAGAAACAGTTGTATAATATCTAATCTTATCTAAAATCATATCTAAAAAATATTCTTATAAAATATATAAAATATTCTATTACTTCTAACTCTAAGAAGATTTTCTTCTTCTTCATCCTGTATAAGTACTTCTGCATTGGCAAGGTTGTCTACAGCAATAGCCAAAAATACATTAAGAAGTGTATCTAGTATATATAGTTAAATCCAAAAAAACATTTTATACTTGACTTAAATGATCTTATCACATTTACATTTTATAAAATAAATTTTATACTTGACTTTAATGATCTAATCACATTTACATTATATAAAATAAATTTTTTTGTTATGCATCAGAAATATTACAATTTGATTTAATTAAATTTCTCGAAATTAAAAAAACATTATAATATAACTCAAATTACTAAAACTTTAAAAATAAATAAAAATTTATAACATTAAAATTGTTATAAATAAGACATGTTATAAATAAGTTATAAATAAAGTTATAAATGTTATAAATAAAGTTATTTATTTAAAAAAATGTTATAAATAAAGACAATGTTATAAATAAGAATAAAAAAAGTTTATAACATTAAAATTGATGGGTTTAATACAGTTAAAGTATTATTTATTAATATTGATCATTTTGAATAAATAATATTAAAACATTAAAAAAAGAAAAGATACAATTTCCAAATGCAACTAAAAAAAGGAAGTAGAATGAAACAATTAAGCCGATTAATTCCCCAGGAGCTTTATATGAAAACATTCCGTTGTACATAACAGAATACCAGTCTTCTCCAGTTATTACCTATATTAAAACAAACAGGTTCTATAAAATTATCCTACTGTAATCTGAATTCAGGCTAGGTTGGTTGTATACTTTTGGCTAGATTACATATATACTAATAATTATTATATATCATAATCATTATTATATAAAAAGATTTACATTTATAAAAAATGTAGCAGGATGGTTTAAACTCATAGATCATATAGGTCATATTTTAAAAATCTGTAAAATTGTTTGGGTAAAATACCTGGAAAAAAACCGGAATATATTTTCCCTTATTTTCCTTTTAGCTAAGTTTCAAATTTTTTTCTAAACTTTTTTTTAGTTTTGTATGAGTGATGAGTTTAAAAGCTTAAAAAACAAGTATATTAGAAAAATAAAATACCTAAAATTTTTAAGTTTTTTTTCTTAAATACCTAAACTTGTATGTATGGACAACGTTTTCACTTATCTTTAATAACCTTTTATCAGGGATTATCTTTTTCCAGATATTTTTCTAAACTAAAAGTGGTGCTTAAGTAAGTAAAGTGGTGCTTAACAAAAGTGGTGCTTAACGAGTGGTGCTTAATGAAAGTGGTGCTTAACAAAAGCACATAAACAAATAGTCAGAATATTCAAAGAGATTTCAAAGCAAATAAATGACAAATATATTAAATAAGCTTATGTCAAGTATGTATCTATTTTTGCAAATTAGGAAATACTAACACTGCAATGTTTGTAATTATAATTTAAAACAATCTAACAATTATAAACCTATAAGTATAATATACCAATAAGTAGGGTCATGGCAACCTCTACCGTGAACCATGAGCACCATGGTTTTTGAAAAAATCAGTAAATTTTTTAAGCTTTTTTTTTTAATTTATTTATTTAGTATTGTTTTATACAAAACTAACTTATTTCAGTTTTAATTTATTTTTAAAAAGATATATTTTTAAAGATTTGAGATGTTTTTTTATCCAAAATGATTTTTTATTGTTTTCTTAAGAAAATCTTTAACAGTAAAAAAAAGTTTGTCTAGTTTTTTTTATGGATTTTTTTTTTCTCTCGATAAAAGTTTAAAATAGTTGTAAAAGCATTGAATATTTTAAATTTTATCAAAAAATATTAGTATTTGTATTTCTTCAACATTGTTTAATCCTTTACACGGTAGGTAATTACGAAAATTATATTAGTTAGCACTTACCGTTTATGGAAAAAAAAATTTTAAACATGTTTTATTTTGTAAAGTTTTCTCTATAAAAAACCATTTAAGTTAAACTAAATTACCAATTAAAGGTAATTTAACCCTAGGGAGTATTAATTTGATATGTTTTTTATACTTTATTTATTATATGAAATGAATTCGATTAGGAAGATGCAAGGTTCAAAAACGAAAAAAAATTATTAGAAATAAGCTATTGTATTCCGAAGAACAACTGCATGCAGCACTTAGAACTTTAAATGAAGGTAAAAAAAATTTATGTGTCTGCAAAAAGTTTAATGTTCCTGAAAGAACCTTACGCAACAAATTATCTGGTAAAAGCCAACCCAAACGGCAAAATTCTGGATTTAAATAATTTCTTGGAGATAAAATAGAGAATTAATTGGTTGCTTGGTCAATGCAGTGCGTTAACATGGGTTTTGCAATAACAAAAAAATTATTAATCAAGACAGTACAAAAAATAATTAAAGGGCGAGGTATAAAAACACCATTTAAAGATGATATCCCAAGTAAAAACTGGTTTTATAAACTTATGCACCATCATAAGGAATTATCACAAAAAGAGAGCAGAGCATATCAATTGGCATTAGAAGAAGAAATGTTTATGAAGAATGCAACAACAGCGATAAGGAAAACCTTACAACTCTATTTTGCGTAAATGCAAATGGTGAATTTACACCATCATTAACATTGTACAAGTATGCTCGAATGCTAAAAACTATTGCTGCTGCATCACTAGGTTGGGTTCTCGGTAAAAGCAACAGCAGCTGGATTACCGGCGAATGCTTTTATGAGTACCTCACAAATGTGTTAATACCATATTTCAAATCTATTAATACACAATTACTAATATATATGTTCATGGATGGACATTGCTGGCATCTTTCTAAAGAGCTCAGCATGTATTGCTCTTCGGAAAGAATTCATTTGATTTCAATTACAACCATTAGATGTGTCAGTTTTCCGACCAATCAAAAAAAAAGGCAGAACATTTGTCGCCAATTTAAATTGGGTAATGATTTTAATGAAATTTGCAGAAAATGTACTAATGTTTGAATAATTTTGTTATGGATCCAAATATGAAAAATAAATATTATTAATGGATTTAGGTCGACAGGAATATTCTCATTTAATACGAAAAATCTTGATAGGGAAACAAATCTTTCAAGCCATAATAATTTGGGAAACATATTTGAAAACAAAAAGCACCTGAAGTATTGTTCCAGTTTGAAAAAACTGGAAATAAAGAATGGGGAGAAAAAACTGACTACAGAGAATTATCTAATTCTTGGAAAAAACTGAAATTTAACAATAGCTCAAAACAAACCAGTAATTTAATTGAAGCCAAAAATAATGTATCGAACAACAAAACCGTTAAAGAATTGTATTTAGATATTAGCAACACGCAAATTCTGAAAAAGTCAAATAATTGATAAATTTGGTGAAATTAAATCAGCAATAGATCCACCACATTCAAATAAACAAATAATAAAAGATGTAAATCCATCTTTAATGGCCAAAACAACCAATCACAAAAAAAAGACTGAAACAAGTTGAACGATTACTGAGCATTGTAACTTCATCCAAATGGTTAGAGATTCAAGTAACTAAAGAAAATGCAAAGGAAGAAGAAGATATCAAAAAAATTGAATGTAAAAATAAAGCTGCTGAAAAAAAAAATTGAAAGAAAAAGAAAAACAAGAAAAATCTTAAAGAAAACAAGCTGTTACAAATAAAAATAAAAATAAAAGATAAAAAATTTAAAAAAAGAATTTAAAAAGAAAAAAAGTTTCAAGTCAGAAAAAAGCTTTGGTGAATAATTTTAAATCCAATGTCTTCTTTGTTTGTAATAATTTATGTATTTTATTCTTGATTTAAATGAATAAAACTAAAATTAAAATATAGAGAATCGATTATGGTAGGTGGTGCTTTAATATGGTAGGTGAAGAATCGTACTAGATCTTACAAAAAATTAAAAATAACATTTAAAAATAATTTTACTCAAATTTCAATAATATAAATTAGTTCATAATAGTTCATGAGTACAAAATATTAATTCAAAAACCCTAAATAAAAGTCTGTTACGGTTTGGGAGCAAAAAAGTTTTGAAGTTAAATGTTTTTTTAAAGTTGCGGTTGGGAAATCTATGACTCTATATACAAAGTCTATTTATAAAATCTGAATATATCTATAAAAAAGTCTGAATATATCTATAAAATTCTTTTATGCAACACAAAATAAACATTTTAACATTTTAAAAATAAACATATTCTAATAATATTCTTATTTATAAAAGAATTTGTGAATGTTATTTGTTGTTTAATTTGTTTTAACAAATAAAATATTCTAGAATATAATTTCTCAAACAACCCTTGATTATAAATCAAACCTGAAATACTGCTAGAAGTGAGCTTGAAAACTCATCAAAATTTGTCTTAGGATACTTATCAAGTTCATTAAACCTGTAAAAATAATTAACAATATAACAAAAATTTGATATTAAAAATTAAAAAATAAAGTAAAAAATAAAACATCATTAACAGAAATAATTTATATATCTCTTATATTAAAAATAAACATAAACACATTTTAAAAATTATATAAAACTAACTACCGTCCAGAAAATAATTGCATTCCTAGAAGAGCAGTAATAACAATATAAAGATAAAGAAGCAAGAAGAGACTTAAAATTGAGTTCATTGCATGCATTAATGATGAAACAAGATTGCGCAATCTTGACCAATACCTAATAGCATACCATTTAAATGTAGTATTTAAAATATTTTTAAACAAAAATGCGTTTAAAATAAAAATAAACATAAATACCTTGTTACTTTAAAAATACGTAATAGCCTCAAGCAGCGTAAAATACGTAGACCAGCATTCCAAAGTGAGTAGGCTTCAATTGAACTTGCAAAAACAACCTTTAAAAATTGTATTTTTAAAATACAACAATAAAGAAAATAAGAATTAACAGGAGTCATACGTTTTTAGATTTAATAGATAAATTAAGACAAATTTTTCTCTAAAAGAATATACTAAATTTAGGAATATGCAAAATTGATCTAACAATGATTTAAAATAAAGTAATTAAAATAGTTATTATTTATTTATTTAAAATAAATAATCTTAAAACTATTGCACATTACATCATAAATAGTATTATAAAAGTATTTTGACACTTTCATACATTTTAACACACTCATGCGGTAGTGGTGCAGTGCTTCATAAGCGAGAAGTTTCCAGTTTGATCTCAACCACATCCCTGGTAGTACTGCGCTCATATACACTATCTACTGCATGATTAATTATAAAGTACTCTAATACATATCTACTTGCATGCATTACATGCGTGCATTACTGCATGACTACTCATAAAATACTTTAATTGTGAAGCTAAGTGAGAAAATACAAATCTTGTTTACTTTTATTTTTTATTTAAACTAAATTAGTTTTACTTCTTTCATTTTTGTCAAGGCAATTGATGCTTAAATCAAAGGCCTAAATCAAAAAAAGTGAGAGGAGGAGAGATTATGCATGGGGCCCTGGCACCTCCAAGACTCAAAAATGTTAAGAATTATAGTTTTTAGCCACTTTAAGTACTTTTGTCATTTTAAATTTTTAAAATAATACTTTTAATGACTGAGTTGATTTGCATTTTAGAGATTAAAAAAAGTATTTTCTCTTCTTTTCACTCTTGCCTTCACTCTTGCTTTTAGTCTATTATGTCATATTTTAGTCTATTATGTCATATAAAGGCCTTCACTCTTGTTTTTAGTCTATTATGTCATATTTTAGTCTATTATGTCATATAAAGGCCTTCACTCTTGTTTTTAGTCTATTATGTCATATTTTAGTCTATTATGTCATATAAAGGCCTTCACTTTTGCTTTTAGTCTATTATGATAAAATAATATTTAACTAACTGTGTTTTCTTTTTGCTCATACAGTCATAGTAAAGTGCATGTAATCCAAAGTGTATGCTTAATAATGTTGACAAAAATTTATTTTAATAAATTGTTGCTTTTTTATTTATATATTATATATTTATTATATCCATTTTTTGTTTAAATAAGGTTGATTTGTTGATTATAAATAAACTTTCACTATAAAACACTACTAGATTGTAACAACCATCTTCTCTTCAGACCCCAAAAATAATAAAAAGGGACAGTAAAAAACCTCATTCCTTCTTACTGTCTAGGTAGTGAAATATACATTTAAGCATAAAACCTTTAAAAGCTTATAAATGTTTGAATGGAAAAAGCTTTTTTTAAAAAAAAAATAAAAAAATGAGCTTAAAAATTTTATTTAAATTGAGAAAACATTTTAAGTCTGAAGGATATTTTTAAAATTAAAAAATATAAGTAACAATAGTTTAAATATTCATCTAAATATAATAACAAAATAAAAAAACAAAAGCTTACAATAAACTCAAAGATATTGAATGCCGACCTACAATATCCTTTTATTGTCAATGCAAAGACTTTTAACAGTAATTCCAACATGAAAATGGTGACAAAAGTTCTTTCAAATTTAACTATAAATCGACATTTATATTTTTTAAAAAAATGTGATTTTTTCTTCTAATTATAAAAAAGAAATATTATTATTATTTTCAAACTTTTATTACCTTGCAGGTCAAAAAGCCAATGAGGCTGACCAAAGTGATAAGTGGTCATAAAAATAGTATTAAGAAAAACAATTGAAAGGACAAACCAGAAGAAAATTTTATGCTTTACTAATTTTCTTGCTTTCAAACGTAAGAGTTCTATACGAAACAGGATTAGACCAAGCATAGAAGTTTGATCAATATCCTTTTGAATACTAATCTTTCTTGAGAAAAAAACAAACAGAGGATTTATAGTTGCATTTAGACTATATTTATCATAGCGATATTTTTGTTCAACTACCAACAACTCCTCTAAAACACAAAAATTCTAATATAAATAAACTTTAATAAACTTTCAGACACTTAAAACCCAAAAATATCAAAAATTACTTTTAGAGAAGCATCATGTAAAACTTACCTCATTTTGTAAAATTTATATGATTTACTTTAAAAATCTTTTAATTTACTTAATTAAATTTAAAAGTCAAAAAAAATATTTTCAAGATCTCTAAGCTCTAACTATCCTTATTTTTCTATAAAATATGACACCAGTGCAGAAGTTTGCCCCAAGCCCTTACCACAAGCCCGGTAATTATTTTGAATAACAAAGAAATTTTGTTCATCTTTTGCTGAAAGGGTGATGCGGAAGTTATCAGACAATTCTGAATTTAATTATTTGAGCATAAGAATTTGTTTTTGGGGTTTTATGCATAGGTATAAACATTCTATAAAATATAAACTTTATTATTTGAAACACAATTATTTAAAATGAGGTTAAATCTTTTTGAAAGCAACTCAAAATGTTTTTTGTAAATAAACCTAATATATATATAAATAAAAAGAAATCTTATTTTGTAAGTCGTTTTGAAAAGGAAAGATTTGCTCAAAGTACAATAGGGACCGGCAAAGTCAACTTTTTAAGACTTGATGTTATATGAAAGACAAATTTAGATTGAATGCATATACCGAATTTAATTGAAAGTCAAATTTCAATTTCAACTTTGTCACTGAGGTTGAATCCGAAGTCAACTTCGCCATTCAGTAAACTTCGTAATCCAAATTTCAACAAATATTCGCCATTTACTTTGCTTGTCCAACATCCTTAACTAAAGAAAAGAAAGCCGAATTAACAAGACTTGTCAACAATCGAAAAGGGGTCAGTCAGAGAAAAATAGGTTTTAAATTTGGTGTAAATCAATCAACAGATGGTCGTCAGTTAAAAAAAATAAATATTAAATATAGAAAATGTGAAAAGTTTCCAAAATACAATATAAAACAACAATTAAACAAAGAAAAGGAAACAGGAAACAGGAAACAGCAGGAAACTAGTTAACCAACTCTATAACACAAAATCGCTTTTGGTCATTATTGACAAAAAATAGTTTTGTTTTGCAGAGGACAATATGTCTGGAAATTCTGGATACTACACAAACAACAACCAAAACATGGCCAAAAAGTGTTTGTTTTGCAAGAAAAAAGAAATTTCCAAAAAAATTAATAACGTGGATAGCCATATCTGACCGTGGTATGTCCAAGCCATTGTTTTGCACTTCCAAGGCTGTAGCAATTAATTTATCTATCTATATCGACCAATGTTTAGAAAAACAACTTCTTCCATTCATTCACAAATATCATGGAGACTTAAACTATTCATTTCGACCAGATTTAGCAAGTTCTTATTATTCTAAAGATTTCATAAATTGGATGGACCAATATGTCTATTATGTTGATAAATTATTGTATTCAATCCCCCAAATGTGCCTCAAGCAGGACCAATTGAAAACTTTTGGGGACATTTAGCACAGAAGATTTATGAGGAGATTGGCAAGTTTAAACAGAGCAAGTTTTGATAGATCGAATTAAATTAAAACTACAAGAAATCAATTTAAATATTTTACAGTCGCTTATGAAAGGTGTCAGAGTAAAATTGAGATCAAATGCAGAAGGTGGTGTTTTTTCATTAAAAAAATAATTTAGTTTTGTTAAAAGATAAATGATTTGTTTTAAAAAAATATAATAGTTTTTTTTCATCTATAAATAAGTTTTAAATTATAGTTCATCTTAGTAGTTATAATGAAACATTTTTATTTTGTCTGATAGCTTACGCATCACCATTTATAGGATAAATTCAACAAAATGTCAATAAAGATATTGTAACAAAACTTACAATAACTTTATTTGGAAAAGGAGGGTGAAATTATGGCTAGGGCAAACAAATTTATAAAAAACACCTAAAGTAATATGAACTCACAAAGTTTATATGCCTCTTTATATTATTATTATATTAATTTTTTGATCATTTCATAAAAAGTTTAACCGTGAAATTTACAAATGTTTTATTTGATAAATTAGATAAAAGATAGGTGTAAAATAAAGCTAAGACTGATATAATAAAAAAGATAAAGACTAATATAATAAAATAAAATAGAAAAAAATATATACTAAGTGGTATAGCCTTATATTTTCAAAATATATTTTTATTTTCTGACTTTATATTTTTTTTTTTTTTTAGAAGATTATTAGCTAATTGTGTATTTTTGTTCATATTTTGATCATATTATAAAGAAATACAAAAACTAAAAAATTATAAATATAATAAATTTTAACCTATATCATTTAACCTATATCCTAACGGTCTTGTCACAGAGCACTGCAGAAGTGCATTTAACCAGGAAGTTCACGCCTCTTTCCTGGTTAAATGCACTTCTGCAGTGCTCTGTGACAAGACCGTTAGGTCTTCTTGGGGCACCTAAATAACAATTTAAAAAAAAAATAAAGAAAATAATATTTCTTTTATTTACAAAAGATATGTGAAATATTAAAAACAATTAAGCAAAATGATTTTACAAATTCTTGGGGATTTAAACTTTTGATTTTTCAAAATTCAATCAAGTTTTAATTTTTTAATTTAAACTTTCTATTCTCAATGGGATGAAACATTTTTAAAATAGTAAACATTCCATTCTATCTGTTAGCAGTAATGACTTCATAACTTTCCATTCATTGTTTGTACAAAACTGAAAACTGCTTTCTAATTTGCGCAAATTAATTATTATTAAGTGAATAACTTTTTATATACTTGATTATATACTTAATAAATATATAATAGACTTATACTAATATCTTCTATATAATAATGCCAAACTTAATAGTTTTAATAGTAGTGTCCCTTGGAGCATATTTGACATGAAACCCTTTGCAGCCATTGCAACTGAGGAATTGGCAAGAAAGAGTCGCAGCACTATTATAAAACGTGAACGAATATCTAACGTACGTAAAATTTAAACTAAGTAATGTTAAAGCATATGTCAAAACATACTGAAACAGTTATCAAGTTTTACAGTTTGATTTTCACTTGAAAATTACATTGCGTCAAGCTCTCCTTAATTTTGATCTATAACATTTTTTCCCTCAAAAATATTATTACATTTTAAAAAATCTACGCCAGATTGTATGCCGGTGTAGCTTGAGTGGATAAGGCGTCGAACTTCTGAACAAGAAACTAGAGGTTCGATTCCTACCAATGGCAGCTAATTTTTTAAAAATTTTTTTGGTTACTTTATAATACAAAATAACTTTGAAGTTTTATAAAGATTATATACAAACATATGTAACGTAACGATATTATGTACTCACAAAAGAAAAGATTTTAAGAAAGCTAAAAAAAAAAACATCACCGGGAGAAAAGATTTGTTGTGTATGTATGATGATTGAGAACTTATGTTATTGATGTGCTCAGGTAATTAGTCCTAATAAGCTGCGGATGGTCTGAAAAAAAAGCTGCGGATGGTCTGAAACTTAATAAAGAAAAAACTATATTAAATAACTAAGAAAGTCTTGCTACTTAAGAAGATGCTGCTGTGGAGGCAAGAAAAAAAGCCTGTAGCTAGAAAAAAATTTAAAACTTTTTTTTGATAATGAAAAGCTTTTTAAGCTACTTTTTTTTTTTTACTATAAATATATGCTGCAGCTGTTTTTCAATACGCCTTAATATACTTATTACGTATTTTGAGAAAAACGCAATTTAAAAAAATTATTTAAAATTAACTCTTTGTTAAACGTTTTTTGAAACGAATAATTTTAATGAACTTTTTTCAGAACTCTTCGAAAATATGTATTCAATAATGTTTGTAGACATATAATCTATCTTATTTTGTAAAAAAGTCAAAAATGATATTTTTAACCGTAAGGCGTTTTGAAAAACAGCTGCAGTATGGATGATACAATCAAAATTAAATATAATTACTTAAAAATTTTATTATAGTGAAAATTTTTATTTTAGTGAATATAGTAATTGTAGTTCAAAGTTTTATTATAGCACTTAAAATTTTTATTATAGTGCATTGGTTTTTGCAAAGAAACGCTATATAAATCATTTTTTAATTTTAATACAAACTAATTTTTTTTTAACTTTCTTGTGCTTAACCGTCTCTATATAAACAATGTATATTTAAACATATATCCTATATGTTTATATATATATTGTTTATAAAATGTAAAAAATCGACTTATATAACGTTTTTTTTAGGATTGTATGCAATATAAGTAAACTTTTCTAATAATTACAAGTCTTTTTTGCACAAGCTGTTTTGTTTTGTGTGGATTTTTTGTAGTTATGTTAATATATTTAAAAAAATTGACAAGACTAAAAAAACACAAAACATATTGTCACTTCCGAGTGAAAAATTTGAAACTTCAATTTTAGATTTACTCCTCTCTCGATAATTTCTGATTTCTAAAGTTATGTCATCTGCTTCTTAGACCTTTAAAAATGATAGTCATATAAATAAGATTTTATTTCAATTTTTTATAAAAACTCTATCTATTAAAGATATATGGAATATATTTTTATGGAATATATTCTAATAAAGCCATCCATAAAGGAAGCCATCCAAATAGGGAGAGGTGGGTGGGGTTCGAGATAAAAAGGACAAAAAAGAACAATGAGAGGGGGGATTATGTCAGAAAAGGACATCGCTTTATAGATTTTTTATTTTAGTTTAATTAACATGAAAAAATATGTAAATATGTGTTTTTAAGATGATAATGTATAAGAATACTTTTAATTTTATTTTTCAAAGGTGTAGCAGCAGATTCATACATCATTGGGAGATCAAATCATTTTTTGGGGGGCTTAGTTTGGTTGGGGGGGCAGGATTTTATGACGTCCTTTTCAAGGGGGTATAGGGAAAAAGTGCAACCGGTGATAAAGGGGGAGGAGGTCAAAAATTGGCTAAAAATGATGACATCCTTTACAGATGGCTCCAAAACTATTTATTTATTACTATTGTAAATAAATCTCTTATCCATGAAAATAATATATCTGTACCAGTTTTATATATTTTAATGCATTTGTATGCAACATAATAAAAATTATTAAAAAACATGTAAGATAAATGCACAAAGAAACTTGACGCATAAAGGTTTATTTTGCCACAAACTGACTGCGTAAAATCTTTTTGGCTTAACTTTTAGATTAGTGTTTAACAATATTCTTTAGTTCTTAATCATAATCATAAGAATGAATTTTTTAATGATATTGATTTTTTAATGACTATGTTTTAGTGCTCTAAGATCTTCTTAGTTCCATTTGTATAACGTTACATACAAACGTCTGTAAGTGTAAATGTCTTTAGCATATGTTGAGTTTCCAGGCATTATATGGAACAATTGCGTCTATCTATATATCTACAAAATGAGAAAACTTTAAAATTTCATTTTAAATTTTAGAAATCTTTTTTGCTATATTATTAATTTTTTGCTATAGGTATATAAGCAAGATTGAAAAAATTTCTGACTTATTATGCTAAAAGGAGGTCTTAAACCCTCCAAAACAACACTGATGACAGCGCACTTAATCACTGAGCTATCAATGAAATGCATTTAGCAGAAAAACAAAGCTAATTATAAGTATCTTATAAGCTCTATGTATGCGGAAAAGGTGCGCATGTTTAGTTTTTTGCACTTAAATTTTTTTTCAGAATAAGTTATTTTACTAAAAAATATTGAAGTAAATAAGGAATAGGTATAGAAATTTTCGGCTAGAAATAGATATGTAAATTGGTAAAGACCTGTATTTTACGGATTCAGAAAGCTAGAATATATAAGAAAAAAGTATAGAAAAGTTCGGTTTGGAATAGATATACAAAGACCCATATTTTTATGGGGCCGATCTCAGCTAGTAGTATATATTAGTGTAAGCATATATATATACTTATACAAATATAATATATAAGTAACTTATGTACTGACGTATATTTTGGGTAATGCGTTTGTAAAACTAGTAACATTACATTTTTTCTTTTGTTGTTTGTGAGCACGCTTTTAAAAGTTTCAATTCAAAGTTATGTAACAATTTTGTTATAATGTAAGATTAATGTAAAACTTGTTATACGTATTGTTTATTGTAACTTTGTTTTTTAATTTTTAGTTTTGTTTAGCTTCAACTTTTTTAACAAGTAGACTTTAATATAAGCTTAACCGGTTCGAAGATATCAGAGAAAATATTTAGCTTATTAACTTATATTTGACAAAAAATATTTGATATTCTAATGTTTTGAATTTGATTTGATGTTTTTAAACTTTAAATATAGTCATTAATTAATAGAATGTGATCAAACCATTATGAAATTGAAGCTATAAGTTAAGTTGTAATTTGATAAAATTTTTACGCTGAATATTAACTTTTAAGATATTTATAAATATTAGGCTTGATATTTAAAATATTTGACTAGATATTTAATTTTTTATCATTTAAGTTTGGAATTTTCGTTGAAGTTTTGCAAGTTTTGATATTTTATTAAGAGGACTTTTATGCAATTCAAAGTAGAGGTTCCAGTTAAGCAAAGTTTTTTGTCAAATGGACCTTAAAAAACTGTACAAATGGTTCAACTTAACCAGGGTATGATTAAGCGGATAATATGATAAGTTTAACTGGAATTAAAAAAAAAAACATGCTAAATTTAGCTTTCAAATAGATAAAATAAATCATTTTTAATTTAAGCTAAACTGCATAAATCAAAATTAAAGTACGTCACGGATAATTTATGCGCAACATACTTTATTGTGAATAAAAGTACTTTATTTAACAATATGCAAACTCTACTGTTTAAGCATATTTTGACTTCAGAAAACATTTTTACTAAAAATGTTTTCTATAAAATAAGTTTATAATTTACTCTCTTGAAGTTCTTCAGACAAGCGAGGTTTTTTACTCTTGTAACAATACTAGCGAGCGCTATTTTTCGCACCAGGAACGCCATTTACGGGCAAGTTTCATGTGCGCGGAGCAATCGCTCCTGCCTCATCACAAGGCCTGATAAAAAGTAATGTTTTTATTCTGATTAATTTTTAAAAAAGGTCACCCAAAACCCGAAATTTTTAAAATGGTATATATAGGCAGTTTTTGTAGGCAGTAGCATTATGACTTTCTGAAACCTAGAATTTTGTTGAACCTTATAGAACTTTTTAGATTTTTTTGGATTGTTATATATATATATATATATATATATATATATATATATATATATATATATATATATATATATATATATATATATATATTTATATATATATATATTTATATATATGTATGCCCAACTGCACACATGGTTTTAGGGCACCCTGAGAAAGTATTACTTTTGAGATTTTCTACCATGTTTAAATAGAGCTACACACTTGACAACTGTACAAACCTAGTCACCATGAACTAATATTAATTTTTTAGTTATGATTTGTGCTACAACTACAAATAGAGCTATAATTTTAATATATATGCTTGATTTTATTTAAGTTAAAATACTTTTTTTAATTGTGTTTAATAAAGTTTAAACAATTTTATACAATTTTTTGCATATGTTTTATAACACATGCAAAAAATATAAACAAACACTTGAAATGTTAATAATTAAAAGTACGCAGTGATATATAGATATTCAATTATTTCTTGTTTTATGTTGACCTTGTAGATAAAGTTTTACAAATTTTCTACCAAACTAGGTAAATTTGAAATTTAATATAAACATTGTAATATAAATCATTGATACACTAAATACTTAGACTTTGATGTGTTCAGTTAAAGTAACTTATTTTTCAGTACTTTTTCTACAAAGTCAAAATTTTTTATTTCTTAAAAATATAATTACCTCCTCAAAGCTTAGGGGACTGCTATAGTTAAGGAGGCTATTTTTTATTTTAATATTTTTAAAACTACCTTTCACTAAATTATTTTTATGCATCTCTCTCAACACTTTAATTAAGGAAAACATATTTATCACTAACAAAAATAAAGAACTAAGAAACTAAGAAATGCAACCCTTTTACTAAAAAACAAAAAACTACACAGAGAAGCATGTTGGTTTTTTATTAAATTACTTTGATAAAGCTCTGTAGAGGAGAATCCTTGTGATTTCAATAACAAAATACTTTTCCTATGACAAACAGGTTAATAACAAAAAGGGTTTGAAAATTTCTGAAGCATCAAACTAATCAAATTTTTATTTTTTTCATTTTCTTTTTAAAATACAATTTCTTGTAACTATGGACATAAAAGTAATTATTATTAATTAACAAGCAATTATTATTAATTAACAATTTAATAATAAAGAAAAAATTCTTTAAAAAATTCTACCTCCTATTGAAATCCAATTTAAATAAGATTCAAACAATCTTTCTAACTTTTTCTTTTCACGTAGCTTAAGAAACTTTCTTCTGTTATCTACTTTAGTTCTCTCTTTAGCAAATTCTCTAATAAATAAAATACACAAGCAAATAAATACAAAGCAATTAAACTATAATTAATATATTTGCTCTTTGAGAATTCTGTGTTAGATTAACATACGCATGTTACCTTATGTTTTAGATTTGGGTAATTTTTATATATATTATAGGACTTATGAAAATTAGGAAACCTGAAAATGTAAGTACCCATGTTTTAAGATGACTTTTTATAATAGCAATACTTAATGAACGGAATGAACAGAATAAAGATATATATTTTAGGTCACTTTGAGGTTAAAGTGGTGATGTAACCATGATAACCTTTTATTGGATTTTTTACAACTTAAAATACAAAAAAAACTCAATTTATTAAAAGTGATGTTTGATATCTAACAAACTAATTAAAGCAAAAGATATTATTTTACTTTTTTCATTTCAAAATACTATTCTAAGCAAAGCCTTTTATGTATAGCTTATTTAAATGTCTGTATAAATTTGTTGCAAATGACAAAATTAGCTATATCTTTATGTATTTTATGTAATAATTAACAATCCAATTTTTAAAAACAAGAGAAATAAATTTAACCCTATTATAAAACAATCAAAACAGAACTACCATTGAAATATACTACATAAATCTATGAATAAACCAGAAAGTTTCTGGCATAACATAAAAAATACTTACCCTGGGTTAAAAACAAAAAATTCTACTGGCCTAGACAATATATTACAAGCAATACTGAAAGATGCAGCTAGTGTCTTGTCTAAACCACCTACTCACATAATAAACATGTCTTTGAAGACATCAATCTATCCAACTGATTGGAAATGCTGGAGAATTCTCCCAATTTACAAATTAAAATCCCAAAACAATATTTAAAATTACCGACCCATATCTGTAATACCAACTATATCAAAAATTATAGAGTGAGTTGTGCACATCCTAATATCAATTTATTTAGAGGAAACCAGTTTGATAAATGACAAACAATTTGGCTTTCGGCGTAAATAATCAACAAAACTAGCTGCAAGGCTGTTTGTAAATAACATAAAACGAAAAATTGACTAAGGTAAAATAGTTGGAGCAGTATTTCTTGACTTGAGTAAGGCATTTGACACTTTAATTCATGAAATACTAATCAACAAGCTTAACAGTTATGGTGTTCATGATACTTTTGCTGGTTTAAAGATTACCTATTTAACAGATCTCAAACAATTTGTTTTCAAAACATAATATCTGAAACAGGAAAAGTTGGTGTACCTCATGGATCAATATTTACTTTTTGGCCCTTTACTTTTTGTTATTTACTTTAATGAAACATTCAAAATCTATTATTTAGGCTGATGACACAGTCATATACATTCCTGGAAAAGATATATTTATTATAGAATTGTGTCTTTCGTCTGATATGGAAGAAATTTCAAAATGGTGTATAAATAATGAGCTAATGCTCAACCTCAGAGTCAGTAAAATGGAATCCATGCTGTTTGGTACAGGAAAATCTCTCTCAAGACAACTAAACACAATGAACATTTCTTACAACTTCAACTCAATATGTTTCACGTTGAGCTATAAAGCATAAGTAGTTATTTTAACAATGATTATAAACAAGCTTGTAGACTAAGATTACTTTAAAAAATTAAATATTTGTTAACAACTCTTGTAGCAGAACATTTACCAGTTTACTAATATACTCGTTTCAACCTACCGTGGAAAACTTTGCATCAACCTACCAAAATCAAAAACAGATAAGTTAGACTCTTTGCATACAGATGCATCTTGTATAATAAATACAAACAGCAAGCACAAAGTGAACACAAAATCACTATTGTTGCAAATTCTCATTGCATCTTGACTCTTAATGAAGCAAATTCATTTTTGGTTTTTCATAATCAAACTTTACAAACTATTTTGAAGTTGTCAATCATTCAAAAGCAACAAAAAATAAAAGTAACCTAATTAAAATTCCGAAAAACCAACTTGAATTTGCTAAAAGTTTTTTCTATTACTCCGATGCTAGAGTCTACAATGATCAACCATTAGAAATTAGGAATATCTACTAGTTTACTGAATTTAAAAATAAGTTAAAATTATTACTTCAATTGATTATAATTTTTATTATATTTTACACACATTGATAATAATTTCTGAAGTAATTTATCCTGTATAAATATTCATAAAATTAATAATAAAAAAAAAAAAAAAAATGATGAAAAAGAATGATTAAGTTTTAAAAGTTTCAGAGAGCAATATGACAACCATATGACTTCTTCTTTCACTGACCATTTGCATACTATATAAATGTGAAAACTATGAATCTTTTATTATTGGCAAACATAAAAAGATTTTGTATTGTACTGCACATACATCAGTGAATTTATTCATTTATCATTACTAATTTGTATCATTACTAATGTGTGCCTTAATGTTATTGGTGATGAGATGTTGCATTTTATATGCAAAGTAAACACTGTGTTCAGCATAAATAGGAAAGAAACAAAATTACTTAAATCTTAACATTTGATTTATAGTATGTAACATAAAGGATGAAGTCATCAGGGAAGGCAGCCCTTGTTTTAAAGCGTTACGCAGCTCACAATTTATGTACCCTTTAAGTTATTTAACAAAGTGTCTATAAAAATAAAAAAGTAATTAATTTTATAAAAAAATTTTAAATGACGATTATGAAAAAAGTTTGTTACAAAAGTGGGAATGACAATTACATTTGATACATTTTTAACATTTTAAAAATGCGATGAAAAAAATTATTTTTAATTACGTCAAAAATAAATAACTTTTAAAAAAACTTTTATGTTTACTAACTTTTTTATATTAGCGAAATACTTTTACATAAAGTAACAGTTACTGTTAACATTTTAATTTAAAGTATATATGAAAGTTGTATAAATTTCATTTATACTTTAAAAATGAAAGTTGTATAAATTTGTTGAGAAGAAAAAAAACAAAAAACTTTTGAATTAAAGACAGTCCACAGTGGGCCAGTAGGTGGACAAAATGAGAAAAAATAAACAGTAACATAATTTTGAATTAAACTGCGTAATTATCATCATTAAAAGTTAACTAATCACATTCCTTTTAAAAAAAATACCAATTGTTACTTTTTCAAAATGTCATAAGCAATCAAAGCACAGTGTGCCAGTAGGTGGACAAAATGAGAAAAAATTTAGTTGTCAAATCTTGAAAACTTATTTAATTTTAGTATCTACATATATTAGGAGAAATCTATTGATAATTTATTTATATTAAATCCCTTAGTTACCAGGACTCTAAGCATTTGAATATTGAAATTTAAAAAAAAAAAAAAATTTAAATAAGTAATTTACGGTGACATTAACGTTGTGTTATATTTCAATTACATCTACGTTTTTGAAACAAATAATTAGTACCTGTTATTCTAGAGCATTTTGAGATAAGAAAAACCAATGTGATAAAAATGTCATAGGATGTTATCTCAGTTATACTTTGAAAATCACAGATTAAAAAAAAAAAATCTTCATGAAAATTATTTTTTGCTGCACTATAACTAATAATTACCATATTTTGCCATGTGCTGTATTATATTTATTTAAGTTATATGATGCTTCAATTAAGTTTTAATTGATTGCTCGTCCCCTTAAATCCCTGTTCAGATTTTATGTTTTAACTTGGTTGTTATGGTACTGAATTTTGCATAGCAACTGCTCATTTTTACATTAATGTTGTTTTAACAGTATTTTATCTGCGCTAAGTACATAATATTGGAAGCATGTATTAAAATGAGATTCACAATTAAAAGTTGTTATCCAGAGACCCATTGCTTGCAAAACGGAATCCAAGGAATCTGTGATCGAAGAAAATCAGTACATTAAAAGTGAGATAGAAAGCATGGAAATAATTTTATTAGAGGTTTGTGGTTTTTTTATTGAAGTGAATTGTATTATTGTATTTTTTTTTATTTTTTTATTTGCATTCACTCCCAACAAGGCTGCAAGCAACCACTATTAAGTTAGGAGTTACTAGGAAAAAAAAGAACAGAGTTATAGAGCAAGGAAACGGTTGACAGAAGACTTGAAAAGTTGAAGGTTGTATGAGTCAGGAAAATATGAAGATGGGAGAGAGTTCCAAAGGATTAAAGTGCGGGGAAAAAACTAGATGAATAAGAGTTTTTAGAGCATGCAGGGACAGATACAGTAAACGAATGAGACTTAGCTGAATGACGAGTAAAATGAAAATGAATTTTAGTTGATGGAACTAGAGATGATAACTCCTTTGAGCAGTGATCATGATAGTATTTGTAGAAAAGAGAAAGAGATGCAACTTTACGACGATGGGAAAGAGGCTCAAGCTTAGCAGATAGTCCGGGTCCAACAACATTTACAATGCATTTTTGGACCTTGTCAAGAAGAGAAAGTGAATCGTTAGAAGAACAAGCACAAATATGACAACAGTATTCCATACAGGGACAAATAAGAAATTTGTAGAGGTAGAGAATGGTTATTTACAATGATTGATTGGAAAGTTCAAGCAATATTATCTGAAAAAACTAACTCATCCAATGCTGTTCAATGTGTGTTGTCTCTCCAAAAAATATGAATAGTCTTGATATTCTTAATAAAGATTATACTAACAAAGAGTTCAAGTATGGTCTTTCTATTCTACATGCATGGATTCATTTTTTTGAGATTTGTTTTGCACATTCTATATAAAAAAGAAACAAGAAAGTGGCAAGCAAGATCTAAAGAACACAAAGAAAAGGCATCTTTAGCTAAACAAAAGATTCAGACTGGTTTTATGAACAAAATGGGACTTGTTGTTGATTTCCCTAAAAGTGGTGGTTCTGGAACAAGCAATGACAACAATACCTCAAGGCGTGGTTTTGCAGCATATGAACAAACAGCTGAAATTCGGGGTATTGATCAAAACCTTCATTTCACATTTTACATTATCTCGGTAACACTCTCATAACGATATGAAATAGCTTAAAATTCAAGGATTATTGTTTTGACGCTGTTAGACTATATGTGTCCTTTTATCCATGATATTACATGGTTCAATCAATTCACAAAGTATTGATACATGGACATGACATAATTAAAAACCTTACATTATCCATCGGACTTATGTCAGAGGAAGCCCAAGAGGTTAGAAATAAGACTAAGAATCTTATCGCAAAAGTTTCAGCCAAAAAACATCCAGACAAGCAACAAATACTGATCTTATCAATAGACTCCTAGTTTCCAGTGATCCTTTTATTTCATCACTGCGTAAATCAACATCACACCAAACAAATCATAAAGCATTTCCTTCAGATGTTTTTTAATTACTTAAACAATCTTTAAACAATGTTAATGTTTTATAATTTTTTAATGTAATTTAAAATTGACAATACTCTCATGTACTATCTTTTTGTTTTTATTATAGCAAAAACATTATTAACCTAAAAAATTAATTGTTATTCATTATAGGTGGGTCAAAAATCCGATAGAATATTCAAATATCAACTTACATCTTTGTAACTAAGGAAAGTATCTGGTAACTAAGCAATATCAGTATCCATATAATAAGTGTGATCTCATTATATTGGTACTCATGCCAAATTTAGGGAATATAGCACTCATAAAAGATCTGCAGGTAACAAAAATAGGTTGTTGCTAAGCAAAATAAAGATAACCATAGCAACAAAATAAAAATATGTACCTTCATAAAAAGCGCAGACATCATTTAAGTACTCATGCTAGTTTTAGTGAATATAGCTCCAATATTAAATTAGTTATGAATTTTGTCCAGTAAAAGTGTATTGTCTCCCACTGTGCAGTAAAAGTGTATTCTCTCCCACTGTGCAGTAAAAGTGTATTATCTCCCACTGTGCAGTCGTTTGAATTAAACTTTGATCTTTACTAATGTTTTTATATTATTAAAATGCTTTTAAATAAAGTAACAATTCACTGCTAATGATTTTTTTACATTAAAGTATTAATGTATTTTTCTTTCGTCTTTAAATAAAAAAATTATTGATTAAAGTTAATATACTCGAAATATAACAAATTATTTTTGCAAGATTGCAAGTTTAAAAAAAATATATAAATATAATTTTATTTTTATAACTTTTATGATTTTTTTTCTTTAGTCTAAATACAAAAAAATTGAATTATTAACAAATTAAATCAAATTAGAAATTAAAAGAATAATTTTGTTCATTATTTTTCATTTTCATCTTCACTTTTCCTCATTTGCTTTCTGATATTGCATTTTTGACAAAAGAAAAGATTTAACAATTTTTCTTTTGTTTACAGTACTACAAAGAATTGTAAAGTTTTTTTTGTTGTTGTTATGTTTTAAATGTGTGTTTTTATTAAAAACATTGGAAGTTGTTACTTAATTTAAAAGGGTTTTGCTATGTCTATATAATAAAGAAAAAGTATGTTTTTTTTGTTCGTAAGTCAGTTGTCATTTTTGTGAAATGCGTCCCCTCTCCCTCCTAAAAAAAAAAAAAAAAATCATTAAAAAAAGTTTTCTCATTAAGTTTGATCTTTTTTTATAAATTAGCATTAATGCGCAATGAAGTTTTTTATAAAAACAAAGGTGTTTATTTACATTTTTTTGTCGATTAGTACTATTTATTTATTTTTTACTTCTAGTTTTACCTTATAAAAACATTAGTAAAGATTCAAAGTTATTTTAAACCTAATTATCTTATTATTTATTATTTATTTTAGCTAAGTTTTGTTTTTATTATTTTTATTTTTGTTTTAGTTATTTATTAATAAGCTATTTTTATTTTATTTTTCATTAATTTTTTAAGAAGATTTAATTTCTTTTTTTTAAATAAGTTTGTTTTTTTAGTTTCTTTATAACTTTTTAAAGTTAAGTTTTCAGCACTTTATTAAAATGTTAAAACTGTGGTCAAATCGTCAAAACAAAATATTATTTTCATGGTCATATAAAGCAGTGAAATTGCATGCCTTCGTGACCAAGCCTGCTTACAAGTGAAATAAATTCAGATAAAATAAAAAACGATAAAAATTTTATCTTTATTTCAATTTTATTTTAAAATATTACTAAATATTGTTTGATAATAAAATTAAACTAATTAAACTAAATTTTTTGTAAACGTTTATAATGTACATTGAACCTTTTTTTAATGTACATTTAACTTTTTTTCATAGAGTAAGTGAAAACTAAATGATATGTTTTTTTAATAAATGATACTTGGAAATCTAAAATAATTAGGTAAAGTAATTAAATACAGTTTTTATATATTTTTTATTTGTTAATCTTTTAGAAATAAAAAATCATTATTTGCAAAATTGCAAATGGCATTTTTTTAGAAATAATAATAAAAAGAAATTAAACATATTTTAATTCATTTATACAAATGTTGAGAAAAGAAACTAGTTAATATACTATTAAATAAATATTAAATAAAAAAGTTAATTAAGCTAATTAATAAACTATTAAATAACTAAAAGCTAGTTAATATACTACTAAATAACTCTTAAATATAAAAAATATGTGATATTTAATTTAGTTGTTTAATATCATAATATATTTACATAATAAAGTTAACTCTTTAATTGAATCTAGTTTTGCCATAAATTTTTTATATTGCAGTAGTTTAACAAAGTTAATGTTCTTAAAAAAATAATAATAATAATAAAGAGAACTTTATGATGTCAAGTTCATATTAAGCTAATGCATTAAGCAATTTTTATTTAAAACAAGGCCTGGGACGGTGAAATAATAGAATGTTTTTCAATATCCCCTTCAAAGTTTTTTACTTTTTTAACTCATAAAGACACTCATAAAGGAGTAGCCTTGAGGATTTTATTTGTGCGGAAAAAGGTTTGTTATTGAAAATACTTTTAAAAAACATAAGTAAGATTCAAGTTATAATATATAAAAAATTTTTACCCATTAAGCACACCAAGAACCAAGTTTAACATTATAAATGAACCCAACATAACTAATGAAACATAATAAAATGACCAGATATAACCAAATTCATCCACTGTGCTAAATGTCTAAAAAAATAATTTATCTGATAAATGAAATTTTTTAAACAAACTGAAAAAGTTTAATCTTTGAATTCATAACTATTTTAAAAAATCATTCAAATATTTTCAAATTCTAGAAATTAAATAGGTAAAATTCTAGTTTAATTCCTTTTATCAAAGATATTGCATGAAATATTAAAAGTTATCTAACTTAAATTGTAGACCAATCAATTTTTAAAAATGCTAAACTATAGTGGTTTAAATAGTTATTTTAAGTTTATTAATTTTATATTTGTTTGTTAAAATCTGTAACTAGTCGGTTGATTCAAGATTTATTTCTTTGTCCATAATTTTAATCCAAAAATTTTTTTTTTTTTTTAAAAATCTTTTAATTCAAGTCAGTTTTCAGGTTAATTTTAGGTTTATTGATAAATATAATATTTATTAATAAGCAATATATAACAGAATATATTTATAAACAATATATAATGTGAAATATTAAAAAAAAATGTATCACATACATAATACATGATATCTGACCATCCTTCAGTTGTGACACATTGAAAGACTGTAATAATGGCAAAAAAGATGTTGTCAAAAGTTGTAATTCCATGATTTATTTCATTTGGATCACCTTTTGAACACTTTTCATCTTTGGGACACTTGAAACCATGCACAAAAAATACTTTTTTATATTCTCTATCACAAGGTTTGCCAGGTTTACTTACTACTAAAAATAAAAATAAAAATTTGCTCACTATTTGTTTTAAAAATATACACTTTGTCAAAACTTTAATTATAGGAGTTTTTTAACTTTTAAATATGACCTAAAGTTTAAAACCTAAAGTTTGATCACAATAAAGTAACAATTAAGCGTTAGATTTTCACCCTAACCTTGACTTTAAAAACATATCTTTCTAGATATTCCATCTTTATTAAATAAATCTTGAACACTACAAACTATCAACACATCTAATCCAAACCACGTAGTTGGTTGTACATTTTTTGCTTTAAGGGCATTTAAAGCTATTTTCTATTTTAAAAGCGTTATACAAATTTGTTTTCATCAGGGAAAACATTCCATTTAAACAAAACAGTTTTTTATCAAAACTTTAAATTTTATAGGAGTTTTTTAGCTTTTAAATTAAAAAGTTTGATCACAATAAAGTAAAAATTAGGCTTTAGATTTAGTATAAAATATCAAAACTTATTTTAAACCAATTTTCTGTAATAACTTTATACAAAAATTTATAACAAATCAAAATGAAATAGAGGGTCTCAGATCAAAACAAACCAAGCAGTTCTGTCAATAATTTAAAAAAATACAAAAAACATTACTTTTTAGAGAAATTACACATATATAGTTACCATAGTTTACCATAGTTACACATTAGGGTTGTTCAGAAAAAAAAAATTAGAATTTAAACTCTAGTTTATCATTCAAGAAATCTCAAATGAATTGGTTCCAATTATTATTCTTAAATGACATTGGGTTCTAATTAATATTCGGTTCCAAGTATCTTTTGTCAAATATGGTTGCCAGATTCATGGATGCCTTAAGGAGGACATGAAAAAGCCAAAAGGATGTTGAAGGAGAGCATACTTTATTATATTAATACCTTAAAAATGAAGGTTTTTAAGATTTTGAGACACTAATGGCCTTTTTTATGGTGAGGACGGGAGGCGAGAATCCAACTCTCTAACTACAGTACTGACACTGGATGAGAATAAAGAACATAGTATAATATCCATTAATGTTATATAAGAAAACATATGAAATGCCAAAGTTGCTTCAGCTGCATGGGCTTTCTGCAATACCTTCGAGTTTTAGCTTAAAAAAAGGATGCCAACTTATACTGACACTTTGATTAAGTTTTTATGGTTGTCATGGCGCTCTAAGTCAGTGGCTACTTTGTTAGCAACGGACAAGTAAATATTATAAATTGTACACTTAGGTCAATCTTGCCCTTTAGCAAAGCATGAATGTTTATTTTTCATAGTGCTTGAGAATTTGCATTTTCTCTTTGTAGTAATTGAATTCATTTTTATATAGAAAGTTGCAATTCAATTAAAGTACTGTTGTTGCTTTAAGAGCATAAGAAAAAACTGACAATGGAAAAATGAGTTAACAAAGTTTACTTAAAAAAGAATAGATATATACTTTTTTTAAAATTTTAAATTCTTTTACTGCTCTATAGAACAACAAAAGAACTTGACTAAATATACAGTTTTGAGAACAGTTAGTTTTAAATGGAATGAAATTATGTTTTAACTTTAATTGTTTCAATTTTTGTTTGTCAAACTGTTTGACAAATGAATAAATGGACATTAGGACAAAATAAACTTTTCAATGCAATTGAAAAAGCCAAGTGCGCTTTAAAGTAGGACTTGGCCTTTTGAATAAGGAACATCAAAAAAATGTAAAAATAATACAGTTTAGCTAAAAACAATACAGAATAGCTAAGTTTAAATATAGAAGTGTATGTACAAAAAAAAAAAAAGCATATGAAAAAATTAAAAACTTAAATTATTAAAAAAGCCAGAGATTTTACATATTTTCAGCTTTGCCTGCTAAACAGAGGACAAAAGATAAAAAAGGAGGACATGACCTCCTTTTGCTGGATGTTTGACAACTCTATTCTTAAATGATATTCAGTTCACACAATTTCAATTTAATTAGATCAAGTGAACAAGTAAGTTTAATTTACTTTTTTTTTTTTAATCCAAAAATTAATTTCTTTATTATAATATATAATTCAGAAAAAAATTGTTTTTATCAAAATGTTAAAATTGAATTGCAAAAACACCATTTAAACTGTGTGTGATTCTGTTTGGAAATATTTTCATAAGTATTAAAAATAGATAGTTGGTTTTGTAAAAAATAGGTCAAAAATGTAATTATTTTTATCAAAGTGTATTTATTCTATAAATTCTTTTGATCAATTTTTTTGGTATCCATAATTATCATTGCGAAAATACTTTTTATTAAAAATAATATTATGTTTGAATTGAAACTTTACCTACAGTGGAGAAAATAGAATTAGCCGCACCTTTATTTTTCGTTCTAATTTAACAAAAATGGCAGTGAAACAATTATTAAATCTTCTTTATATCATATTATCTTCTACAATAATTAAAAAATTTATAAATTGGTATGTTTAGTTAACTACAAATGGAAACAAAATTAAAAGTGTTCAAATTGTGAAGAAAACAGATTTAACCTCAATTACAAGATTTTGTTATACATATATAGAAAATAAAATATATAAATATACAGGAAAATACAGAAAATATTTTGTTTTTATGCTCATTTAATATTGCTTCTTGAATTTTCAATGACTTCAAATGTGAGACTTGACATACTAGTCACAAGATTTTGGATAATTTCTATAGATATTTAATTCCAAGCTTCTTTGATATGAGTTTTCAGCTCCACATATCGTCGCATGAGGATTATAGGGTTCTATCTGCCTTGTTTTATGTTGAAAGATTTTAACAATCAAAGTTTTAATTAATAATTAATAATAAAAACAAATGATATATTATATATAATTTTTTAACATTTTTAACAGATAACATAAACAACTTATAATTTATAATTATAATGAATAACAGCTGTAAAACATCTATTAAATAAATATTGAAAGTTAAGTTCTCACAACATAAAAAAGGCAGATAGAACCCTATAATTCTAATGTGACGATATGTCCATTCATATTGCTTACCATTTTCATAAATCTTACTAGTAATTATTCCCTATAGACTTTTAATTGGGTTAAGATCTGGACTGCCTGCGGGCCATTCCATTACGTGAATACTTTTTTCTCTAAACCTAGCTTTTTTTAAGCTTTGAATTATGAATATCATCATTGACTTGTTGAAAAGTGAAACTTTTACCCATCAATTCTTCACCATGTTCAAACAAACTAATTTCTAAAAAGTCAATGTAGTCCTGTGAATTCATTTTTATTGAAATCCATGCCAGTGGAAGTTTTCAAGCAAAGGAAAAAGCCATAAACCATAACAGCTCAACCTCTCATCCAAGTTTCTTCCTCTTTTCGAAGATCATGCCAGTAATATTGATAGCCATCAGGATCATCTAGATTGAACTTTCTTTCATCACTAAAGTGAACTTAATGCCACTCTTCCTGTTAAAAATGTATTCTTTTGCAAATTGCAATATAGCTTCTTTATGATGAACAGTAAGTTTTGGTTTTGATTTACACTTTTCTTAAACTATATTTTGATCTTCATGTAAGGTTTGTCTCACAAGATAAGGTAATTGTAAATCATAAATTTGAGTAGCAGTCTGAGCGGTTGCATGGCGTACAATAGCTTGCTTAGTACAATTATCAATTTTACAGTTGTCACCACTTTCCTTATAAACTCCATAATTAATGTCCATCTTAAAGAAATTATTAACCACTTTTGAAGATCTTTTATATTTCTTTGCAATTTCCTGATTAGATAAGCCTGTATTTTTGTATGCTTTAATTACAGCTAATTTTTTATTTGTCACACATTTACCACGTCCCATTTCAAATTCAGGTATCAAAAACCAGATGTTAAAAACTTTATGAGCACTGATTTTACAGTCTTTGTTTAACTTAAAATAATAATAAACTAAGTCACAAATGTGTATCACCAGATCAAAATATACAAGTAAACTAAAAATAACTAATGAGGCTAATTCTATTTGTTACAGCAAAAATTAATTGTTATACATTTTATGGTTTTATCAAATATACTGCTAAATTTAATTATGCTATATTATAATTTAAAAGGTTGTTGTTTGTAACAATTATATGTGTGTGGATTCAAAATATGCACCATACAAATTTCCTTACAGATATACAAAAAAATTGGATTAGAACATGGTGAGGCTAACTCTATTTTATCCACTGTAGCTACTATAATATGCTTTATGTTGGTTATAATAGTTTATAAAATGATCTTTGACAATTTTGGAAACCAGACAAATGTCTGGTTTCCAAAATTATCATTGTAAAATGATTTTTTATTAAAAATATTTTTGTCTGAAAACTAGCTACCTACTATAATATGCTTTCAGAAATGTAGGTCATTCGTAAAATTATAAAATATTTGAAAAAACAACTGATTACCCAGGTTTTATTGAGTTTTTTCAAGGCAGGTTTTATTGGCTCTTATTGGGTGGGTTAAATGCCAAACCTGGTAGAAAATCATTAAAAAACAAAGAATATATCATTTAAAGATATTTTAAACAATTTTATTATAAAAAAATAGTTTGAAAATGGTATTTCAATATCAAGTCCTACTCTTTTGCTTACATTTTATTTTTTTAAATTTATTGACCATCAAAACTTTAACTTTTTGACTTGAACATTACAATAGAGTTTGTTAAAGTGAGGTGGTCATCAGGAGAAGGTGATCACTTAAAGTTTAAAGAGGAGGTGATCACTAAAAGTTTTAACATTTTAATAAAGGTATAATTTTCTGAGACTACAATCCAAAAATGTTGAGAGTTGCCTAAAGTTTCGAAAGCTCGCTGAATAATGACTGAACTTCGACCAGACTGTCTTTAAGAATAAAAATAATTTTTTCTTTGCGCAGGTCATACCAAACATACTGAAAACCATCGAGTCCATCTAAATAACTTTTTTTCTTCTGAAAAGATAACATTGTTCTATTATTCTTTTCTTGATTTTTTTACTCCATGGCATTTAGTAAAAATTAAGTTTAGAGATTTATTTAGTGTCAAATTCTACAACAGGTAATTCAATCTGCTGAAGATCTCTAGATGAAGATACCTTCTTGAAGCTTTGTTTAGAAGGCACCTTGTTGCTGTTTTGGTATGTTTTCAAGGTCAAAACTCACTAAAACAGCGTAAAATTGGGATCCTATAAACAATTCAAATTTACACCTCTTGAACATTTGAAAAAAAAAATTTTTTTATCTTTTTAATGCTGTATCCTGATTTTAAATGCAAGAATTTGACCATGTTCAAATTCAGTTAACTTTGTTTTTTTGGGATTAATTAATAATACAATGATATCAAATCAGCTTGTAAGCAATGTTGATCAACAAATTTATTACTAATTTACCTTTTTGAATCAACAAAATGTTTAGTTTTCAATAATTTTTTTTAATACTGAAATGGCGGAATCAGCAATTAAAAATTAAAGTTTTTCAAAATTTATAAAAAGTAAACAATACATAAACAAAAATTACAATTTATGTACTAATTGTAATGTTAAACTATTCAATTGTTATAATTGTGATGTTAATCTATTCAATTGTTATAATTGTGATGTTAAACTATTCAATTGTTATAATTGTGATGTTAAAGCAAATCCCCGCCTACAGCAACATAACACAAAAATGCTTACTTTGCCTTCATGAAAAACTTTGCATAATATATCATACAAAGGTACGCAATATCATACAGTATTATAATATCATACAAAGGCACACAAGAATTATTAAATAAAAAAACAGAAATAATATCTAAGTGCTGTTACGAAAACAAGTACTTGCTTGACAACCACAAACCCATATATTAAAAAACCAAACCACGCTTGCAAATACTAACAGTTTTATAATTGTTTTCGAACATCATGATGTTTATTAAAAGAATGTACTTTTTACCTTGTAAAACCTATGAAACTTTTAGTAGTAAAATTTTATTTTTATCTAATCGCATCAAAAAATCAATTATGTAACTCTGATATCATTCATCTAGCACTCTTGCTGAATATATGCACACAGCAAAATTCAATTCAAAAATAAATAAATATATATATATATATATATATATATATATATATATATATATATATATATATATATATATATATATATATATATATATATATATATATATATATATATATATATATTAGGGCTGCGGAAATTAACGATTAATTAATTGATTAATCGCTAAATTATTTAATCAATTAAAATTTCTTTATTCAGTAATATTTCGATTAATTTTTGCCGGTTTTCCATTACTTTTTTTTTTTTTTGCCGTACAAATATATATTAACAAGTTTTGTAATTTATAATAGTAATATTTACAAGTTTCCTCAGTCAAAATATGTAAACGAGATTATAATTATAATTAAAATAGTACAGACAGGACTTCAAGAAGATCAAACTGATCTTATCACGAAGCCCTTACAAGTGAATAATATATATTATGTTCAATATAGGTAATATATTATATATTAAGTACAACTAGTTGTATTAAAACTATTCGAATATTAAAGTTAACTTTAATATTCTTCAATTAGAATAAACTCAAGATAAAATAAAAATTAACAAAAACAAGATGCAAGATAATAACTAAAAATCACAAACAGAATCACGATGAATCACAAACAGTACATGGCTCGCTGGCTGAGCTTACACGATATCAAGAAGAAGGTGTCATTCCAGAAACTGAGAATCCCCTCATGTGGTGGCAACTGAACAGGCATTGGTACCCTAACCTGAGCAGTTTTGTGCTGAAAATTCTGTGTGTACCTGCCACTTCTATTCCTTGTGAAAGACTGTTTAGTTCGTCAGGGTACATTATCAACAAACTGCGATCTTGTCTACTTCCAGAAATCGTTAACCTCCTCGTTTGTTTACGTGACTGGCTAAAGTGATGCCTACATGTACTTGTCAATTAAACTGAATACAGTATAGCAGGCATTAAGTGTCTTGTTTGTTAACGTTTGTGAATACTGTAGTTAGTTAACGTTTACCGATAACAACTTCACCTCACCAGTGGTGAAAAGCAGGTTATTCCGTCGACTTCAGAATTAATCGAAATTATTCGATTAAAATTTTAGACGATTAATCGAACAAAAAAAAAAATTAATCAGTACCAACTCTAATATATATATATATATATATATATATATATATATATATATATATATATATATATATATATATATATATATATATATATATATATATATATATATATATATATATATATATATATATATATATTATATATATATATATATATATATATATATATATATATATATATATATATATATATATATATATATATATATATACAGGTTTACAGGAGCTATTTTATATATATATATATATATATATATATATATATATATATATATATATATATATATATACAGGTTTACAGGAGCTATTTTATATATATATATATATATATATATATATATATATATATATATATATATATATATTTATATATATTATATATATATATACAGGTTTACAGGAGCTATTTACGACTCTCGCAAAAGATTTTTCTCTAAAAAGTATCATTGTAACTTAAATAAAACACACTAAGTCATTTTTATAAAACAAATTAATTACATATTTGCTTTTTAGAAAGCAGGGTTGTTTGAAAAAAAAAAAAAAAAAATTAAAATAGAGCCCCGATAGAAATGCAAATGTTCCTGATTAGATCGGACTAACTGATAAATATAAAAATGTTACACTCTAAATTAAATTGATTAATAATAAAATTATTTAACTGATAAAATATAAAATTATTACACTCTAAATTATTGCATAATAATTGGTATTTTATGTAATAAAATATATATTATATATAATTATTATTTTATTATATTTTTCACTTTTATTGAGGAACTTTTAATTGTTTTAATAATTTTTAAAATGTCTGCGCTCTATTACAATAAGAAACCATAAAATATTTTTTATAAGCAGCAAAAACTTTTATAGCTCTTTGCCAAATTTTTTTATCAAATGTTGATAATAAATAAATGGATAGATTGTGTGAAAATCTCAAGAAAACGCTCTACTAAATAATTTTTTCACAGTGCAATAAATGAAGCTTGTTATGTATATATTCTTTTTATATATATACATATATATACAATTACGGCCTAATCTCCAATTAAGTCAGAAAATGAACTTGCTCCAACATGACAACAAAGCAGTTGATCAAAGATGGTTGCTCAGAATGAGGTATTTTGATATCACCAGCTCCATCTTCAAAAACTGTATCTTTGCCAAATATTAACTAAACTTTTAGGTGCTTATACAGCTTTTTTAGAAAAAGAAAAAAAAAGAAGAATAATGAAAAAAGATTGCAATAACAAACCATACCTTAACAAACCATACCTGGAAAAAATTTAAAATATACATGCAAATACACACAAACATATACACACACTCACAAATACACACAGACACAAAAAATATATGTATATACACATTGATATTTATGTTATGGTACAAGTAGCTGACGCATTAATATTTCATGTTACTGTAATATAAGATGGGAAGATAAAATTTATACAGTTTATTATATATATTTTTTTACTTTTCTAAAGATTTTATGCAATTTTATTTATATAAAATCAATCATATATATTCTGAGAAATAATTTCATGGATATTGACAAATAGTAGTTTTACTAATCTTAAGTAAACACCAAAAATACAGATCTTTATATATATAATTAGTAATAATTAGATAATGACAAAATTAATATTTATAGTAATAAACATAAGAGCCACAATAATAATAAAAAAAACAACAACAATAACAATTATAATATTAATTATAATAACAATAATAATCGAAATTATAAGTCACACTTTATAAAAATATGTACATAAATATATATGAGTTAGTTACAAACAGTTGACTGAAAAAACGTAACAACTAACAAGGACATAATACAGTTATTTAAATTAAAAATAATAAAATAGGAATAATAATAGTAAAGTTAAAAGTAATAATTGTGGTTATGATAAATTTTTAAAATTACTAGTAATAATATTATAACAAAAAACATAACAAAAAAATTATAAAAATTAAAGATAAAATAAAGAAAAACAAAAAATTGCCCAATATACAATACACAAGAATACAAAAACAAAAAACAACAACAAAAAAAAAAAAACATCTCTCAAATAAAAAAAATTTTTTTTTTTTTTTAATCTTCAAAAACAGAGCAATTTCTATATTTTATAATAATTCTTTTTAATTACATTCAATTTTGGAATGTTTTTTTTTTTAACTTTGGTTTTTTGTCTTTTATTTTTCTTTTCTTGTTTCTTTTCATGTTTTTTTTCTTTTGTTAATTTGTTTGATTTGGTTTTAAATTTTTGTTTGTTTTTTGCTTTTTCATTTCTTTCTTTTTTTTTTCTTCATTCTCTTTATTTTTATTTAATTTATTTTTCTTATTTTATTCTTTATCTTCCTATCTTTTTTTTTTTTTAATTTATTTATAAAATTATTTTTAGATTTATTTATAAAATCATTATTAAAAAGCGTCCGCCATTGCGGAAATCTCTGCAGTGATCAAAAAAGAAGATGAAGATGCTCAAGAGACTACCAATAAAGTTTTTAAGATCTTTTGTCAAAATTTTACAAGAAAATGCGATCTGAAAAAGAACAATTAAGACCTTTTACACCGTCTTTTATGTGCATCTGATCTTTTAACTTGCACATTTAGGAAGAAGAAGCATAGCAAAAAAAAAAGTCTTATCAAAGATTTAAAGTGTCACATGTAAGTTTTACAAATAAACTTGTTTTCGGATTCATATCCCTTCTATCATATACTATAAACAAATATCAAAATCTAACTTATATTAAAATTTATAAAAAAAATACAACAAATATTTGTAAACAAAACTTTAGCTCTCACATTGTTCTACTTCACTTTTACAGGTGTAGTGAAATCGCTCAACCATAAACTCTAAGCCTATAATAGCGTATATTCCAATTACAAAACTGAGAAGATACAAGACTTGCAAAAGAGGAGGAACAGCCTTCATAATTGAAGTCATAATAATATGCAAACCTAAAGACAAATTCATAAAAAATCACTTTATGTACATTACATTTTTTAGATTTTTTTTTTTTTATTAACAGAATTTAAAAAAAAAAAAACTTTATCTTTGATAAAAAGAGTGGTATAAAAAAAAAAAAAAAAATGCAAAAAATAAAAATCCATTTGGATTACATTCAATACATATTTCTTAAACATTATCAATTTTTTTTTACTAATATTTTTTAAATAAGCATTTACTACAACATTCTGATGAATAAAAAATTGACTGAAAAAAGTGCATATATATAAAAAGCAATATAAGTTTTTAATGATAAAAAGTAACACGATTATTAATAATGTAACTAATTAAGAATTATGTAACAATAAAGTTTAATAATAAAAACAATGATTAATAACAATATCGCGGCAGACCAGACACTAAGCAAGGTATGCAATTTTGATTATTTCATGTCACTTAGTTCATGTCACTTTTGTTATTACTATATTTTTTATTCTTCATATTTATTTATTTCCCTAAAACAAAAGGAGCAGTAAAAATGTGTCTTGACATTTTGTGTGTCCCTTTGATCTCATGGAGATATTTCTGAGAACTAAAACAAATAAAACAAACTTTACTCAACTTGACTCAAACTTTACTCAACAATTTAGACCTTCCTATATTTATGAACGGTAATGTACTCGATGAGTCTCCTACCCTTCATCTTCTAGGATTAACTTTTACTCCTGATCTTTCTTGGAAACCTTATATCAAATCTGTTGCAAAATTAGCATCTGCTAAAGTTGCTTCTCTTTATCGAGCTCGTCACTTTCTTACTCTGGATTCTATTCTCTATCTCTATAAATCTCAAATCCGGCCTTGTATGGAATACTGTTGCCATATCTGGTGCGGATCTTCTAATGATGCCCTTTCTCTTTTAGACAAGGTGCAAAAATGGATAGTAAACATAGTTGGACCTGCTCTTGCAGCCAACCTTCAACCTCTGTCACATCGTCGTAATGTTGCTTCTCTTTCTCTTTTCTACAAATACTATAATGGGCACCGCTCTAAAGAGCTAGCGTCTCTTGTGCCATCTACTAAAATTCATTCTCGTGTTACTCGTCATTCAATGAAGTCTCATCCTTTTTCTGTTACTGTTCCTAAGTGCTCCAAAAACTTTTATTTGTCTAGTTTTTTTCCTCGAACATCAGTTCTTTGGAATTCGCTTCCTTCATCTTGCTTTCCTGATTCATATTATTTGCAATATTTTAAGTCATCTGTCAATCGTTATCTTGCTCTACAATCTTCATCTTTTCTCTTCCAGTAACTTCCAACACTAATAAGTGGTTGCTTGCAACCTTGTTGGAAGCGAAGATAATTAAAAAAAGAAAAAAAAAAAAAAAAAAACTTCACAATTCCAAGCTATAAAGTAGCTATGACGTAGCTATTCGTAGCTATATAGTTGAGTAAAAGTTTTAAGATAATAAAAAAAGAGATTCTTTAACACTTCTATGAATGTTCAATCAACATGGCGCAGTGGTTAGAGTTCTGGCTCAGTACCCAGAGGTCCGAGGTTCAATGCCAGCTCTAGTCCAATCAACAACATTGGTAAGGAAGGAGGCATGAACTTCTAGTTAAATACTCTCCCGCAATGCTCCATGATAAGACCATAAGGACTTTTGGGAGCACCTAAATAACCTTAAAAAAAAAACTTTCAGTTCTGTACAAGAATGCTGATACCATTCCTTCGAAAGTCTTTTTTTTTTTTAAATAGCTAAAAAATAAAATTTCCTTCACCCACAGCAATTTTTATTATTTTATTTGTTAGGAAAAGAATTTATAATTTTTCAAGGGATATTTTGACTGTGCACTTGGTCTTGCCAAGATAAATAAATTGACAAACAAACAAAAAAATAACAACAAAGTAACTAAGTAATAACAATATAACAAAGTAACAACAAAGTAACTAAATAACAACAAAATAACTAAGTAATAATAAAATTACTTGGAACTCCTGTAATAAACTTGAGAGGACGCAGCACTCTAACAGCCCTAAGCGATTTTACATTCACTTGATTAGAATTTGGCATTACTTGAGGCAATGTAGCAATACTAAAGAATAAAAAGTAATTTATTATCTGTTAATGAATTAAAAACTAAAAATTATGAAAAATGGAAACATTACATACATTTTATTTGTTTGAGCAATATTTTGTATATATGAAAATATTTTTGCATATATTTTTAATTATATTTCATAAAATGTTTAATATATATTACTGTTATATATATATATATATATATATATATATATATATATATATATATATATATATATATATATATATATATATATATATATATATATATAATAATAATAATAATAATAATAATATATATTCATATATATATAAATATATATATATATATATATAAACTTGCATATATTTTGTGTATATATATATATATATATATATATATATATATATATATATATATATATATATATATACATATATATATATATATATATATATATATATATATATATATATATATATATATATATATATATATATATATATATATATATATATATATATATATATATATATATATACAAAATATACAAGATCTTTGTCCCTAATATTAATAAAAAAAAAGTTTTTCAAAAGTATGTCATGTTGGGTCTCAAAAGAAGCAAAATTATATAAAAATTTCAAAAATTATAATCATTTTATAAAAAAAAAATTATTTTAAAGTTTATTGCGAAAAAAAAACATAAAAATGAATTAAGTTTTTTTGATAATAATTTAAAAAAAAAACTTATATAATAATTTTTTTATAAAATAACAGTTACTTTTAAAATTTTTATATAATTTCGCTTCTTTTGAGACCCAACATGACATACTTTTGGAAAACTTTTTTTTTAATAATATTAGGGACTCGGTAAGTGTTCAAGGGTCTTGTGCTCCCCCTAAATCCAATAAAATTTTGAAAAATTTAACAGAGTTGCTTGTAAGAATCAATAGAAAGATTTAAGAATATGAATAGATCTTTTTTAGAATATAAGGGGCGGCTGGGACATCGTAATATATATATATATATATATATATATATATATATATATATATATATATATATATATATATATATATATATATATATATATATATATATATATATATTTATATATATATATATATATATATATATACATACATATATATATATATATATATATATATATATATATATATATATATATATATATATATATATATATACAAACATATATATATATATATATATATATATATATATATATATATATATATATATATATATATATATATAGTTATATATATATATATATATATACATACATATATATATATATATATATATATATATATATATATATATATATATACAAACATATATATATATATATATATATATATATATATATATATATATATATATATATATATATATATATATATATATATATATATATACTGAAATTTGGATTGGAAATAATAAATAAAATGAGAAATGAAAGAACGCTATCACTTTTAAACAATAATAAAACCATTTAATGTTTTGTAATACAATAGAAAACAACATATATAGAAAAAACATTTTACTAGAAAAAAAATTAAATTTAGGTGTGTCATCAATCAGAAAACTTTTCCATTTATTTTTCCTTTTATTTTTTCCATTTATTTTTCCTATTAGCAAATTTCTTTTTTTGTATGAAGCAGATTGTCCAATTAGCATATTATAAGCACCACAATCAAATATTCAAATCCTGTTTAAGGTCAGTTTTACCTTGTAACTGTAGGTTAATACAATTAGGAAGAATTTTATATATGCATATATATACAAAATATAACATGAATTTTGAATTAAAAAATTTAGGATGTATAAGTGTTAATGCAGCCCCAGTCACAAACCCAGCCCTGGCTATATTTTATCAATCCCGGCCCCAGCCCAGATTAAATATCAACCTCGATCACTTACTAAATACAATGCTTATGCTTATAATTATGCATTGGTTTCTCTACAAGTAACAAATAGCAAAGAAACTCATATATGTTTTGTCTATTTTTTTTATAATAATAAAATTGACAATCTCTAACTTACTCTCATTTAATTTTAATTGATATTAATATTTGGTAAATAAAGAATGGTATACATTAGTGTCAAAGAATAAAATAAGTTTGAAACAGAATCATGCACAGAAAAGAAAAATGCAAAGTTGAGTTAACTTTATTTCTTAGAAAATATAAGTTTTACCAGTATACTGTTTTTTTTAAAATAATATTTTAAATATAAGTAAAGATTTTAAGAAAATTGTACACTAGTCTGCAAAAGTCTTTGGTCGCACTTAAAATTTTCATACTCAATATATCATTTTTGGTCTCATATATACTTTTGGTCGTACTCAATATATCAGTTCATGTATGGTCACGCATGGAAGTTATGCATGGAAGTTAGGCAGAGAAGTTGCAAATTTGTCTTATTCATTTAGTTATTTTTATGAAAATAAACTGCTTTTGAGTGCTTCAAATAAAAGATTATATCTTTAAAACTCATATTTAATAAATATTCTATGAGAAATAACATCACTTTCTGTGAGAATTTATTTCTAGCTAGAATATAGTCTTTTGAAAACCATTATCTATTTTACAAACTTATTGCAATATTAACACAAAAAATTAAAAAACATATATTTATGTATACACACACATTCACATGTGTGTATACATAAATCAATGTGATCATTTAACATATGTGGTAGTGGTGTAGTGGTAGAGCGCTTGCTTCATAGGCAGGAGTTTCTAAGTGCAATCCCTACCATATCGCTGGTAATGCCGTGCTCAACTTGTTTCTCCATGCAGCAACCTTGTTTATCAAGGTTTGTGTTTCATAGCTATAGAGTTGAGAGAGGGTTGTAACCACACACAAATAGCCTCCTCCTCTAAAATGGCCTTCTCCGCTTTGGTGAGGTGAATTAAGATTAAAAATAAAGAAAATAAAAGCTTGAATAAACTTAGTAATACACTTTACTTCTGAAAAAACTGTGTCATTTACTCATTAAAACCCATACAAAAAAAAAAAATAAAGAAATATAGTAATTTACCTAATAATCACCACAACAAAATCAATAACATTCCACAAACTTCTAAGATATGAATGTGGATGCAAAATAAAACCATTAGCAATAATTTTAAGCAGAGCTTCTGATCCAAAAATTGCAATAAGATAATACTCAGCATCATCCTGATAAATTTAAGCCGACAATGTTAAAGAATTTAAAATCCTATAGCCATATACTATCTATCATATATCTACTATCATATATCATATACTATGCTTATAAGAAATTTGTAAAATTAAGTTGAACTAATAGATCTAATCATGCTAGTTTTTCAATTTTAAATTTCGACCTCTAAAAAATTTATATTAAATCTCAAAGAGAGCATAAAGTACATAAAGTGGGAAATTTAAGCATTTTCATATAATTTAACTGAAGATGGCTGATTTTAACAAAAATTAAAAAAATTTTCTTAATTATTAGAACATTTAGACATTTTATGCTGAGTAGAAATCTACCTATAATTTATAGGTATATATACCTATAAATTATAGGTATATAGATATAAAGATAGATTAAAATTATAATTTAGATTATTAACATTTAAACTTTTTTTTTCTTTAGTTGTTATTGGTTATTATGTTCTTTTTCAAATTTCTTGCTTTTTATTAGTTTTATACTATTGTCCCTTTACAAAATTATTATAATATTTTTTATTCTAACTTATAGAAAAATAGATTTTAGCACCCTTATTCAGTCCCAGATTTTATAATGTTTTCCGAGAGAATTCCGATCCGGAAAAATTAAACTCCATTTAAAACATGCAAATCCCGTCCAAAAAATTGAACAAGATTAATATCGAGATTAAAAAATATCAATATTCACAGATTTAATGAAGCGGCAATAATTTAAAAAAATAATAATAAATTTTGAAACAATAATAAATTTATGTGTTAGTTTTGACGGTGATTGGTATTATTTTGTTTTTTGAATTAAATTATTCCGACATTACTATATAGAATTTAAAAATTAGTATTGAATTTAAAAACTCCCCAAACACAAACATTTTTTTAAATTGTAATACGGGGAGCTTAAAACTTAGCACTAGAAGCCCCAAAGTGGATCAATTGATCCAAACATGACTTTGTCACTTTGCTGAAGCATAAATTTTTATGTTGATAAAATGATATTTTATGACTTTCATTATTTTGTTATTATTTACTGAAAAGCGGAAAAACTACATAAAAAACACATTCAGAGATGCGGTTATAAATATTTATAAGTAAATCCCTGAGGTGGATCAATTGATCCACCTTATAGAGAATGTGCATATACATAACAAATTTAGTCACGTAATTAAGGTTATTTGCAATGTTTGCATATATTTGACAAGCACTTTCCACAAAAAGGCTACATACAATTTGCACATACTGTTGATCAGGGCCGCCGAGAGCCGTTACGTCGCCTGGAACAGCAATCCTGATTGGCGCCCTTATTTATATATATATGAAGGACCTTTTTTTTATTTAGATACCTTCTTTTTATTTGCTGGCCCTTGGATATCTGCCACCCAGGACAAGCTGCCCCTCGCGACCCTCTCTCCTCTTGGCGGCACTGCTGTTGATATCACATTACTTTGCAGTCTGTTTTTATCTGACATCTCAAACGGGTTGATAATTGTGTATTACTGTTGGTAGCTAGGGTGGTATTACTGTTGGCAGCAACTAGGGAGTAATATTTGCTTCTCTTAACTGTTCAGGTAAAATATAAAGCAACTTTTATCTTGAAATTTTTTGTTGTGTAACTTTTTAAAAAATGATCTAAGCATTTACACCGGTCAGGTCCAAAATATTGAAGAAAACCGCTAACGGCTAGCGTCTGCATCCAGATTATGTTGACATTTGTCAACACATTGAATCTAACATATCAGTTCCACATTTATTTGATTTGTAATAAAGTATTGCCTCTAGTTTTTTCTTCCCATCACTTTACTTATTCGCCCTTTTATGAATTGTTGATAATAAAATAACCGTTTTCTTCCTCTTTGCATGGTAGACAATCAACCTCAATGTATTCATGGTAGACAATCAACCTCTATTTTTGTAGAAATTTGTATCGTAAAGAGAAAGTAGATCAAATACTGGAATTTTTTTTCTATTATGCTTAACTGTTCCAATATTTGATGTTTTCTTTTGCAAAAGTTTTGTTGCCATATATACACTTGTAAAAAAGTTATCTGTAGTAACATTATACTTGCGACCTAAACAAGGTTCCATTAGTGACATGATCACATCAGTACCTAAATTTTCTACACGGTTTTCATGTTTACCTAGATACGGTTTGATATTGAGACAAAATTTTTAATCTTTAGATCAGCTAAAATCCAGAATTTGATTCCGAACTTATCCGGTTTATTAGGCATATACTATGAAAAGAGACACCAAGCTTTAGTTGGGAACAACATTTTTGACAATCTTGTCAGCACCCATGACATAATAGCAATTTTATCAGCTCTCTACGTTCTAAATGTATATCGAATGTATATTCATAATGTCTTCAAATTGAAAACGCTACACTGTCTATATAAAATCATTCACTTAGAGTAAAACACGCCGTTTTTGGGCATAAAATCTATGTATATATATGTAAGGTGAAAGAAATTTATATTTTTATTTAATTTAAATCAAAATTAACAGTTTTAACTGTTAGTTTCATACATTTAAACAAAAAAGTCTAAATGCATATAAAAATTATGTTGGATCAATTGATCCAGTTTGGGGTTTCTAGGTATATAAAAACCTGAGGCTTCTAGTGTTAATTAACTGCAAAAAGCCCATTCAGTGTTAAAACCATTACCTTATGTAAACATAATTTTTGTTGTTCTGGCACTCTATTTGTGTTATTTATGAACCTAGCATTTGTTGTTCTGATAGGTATCTTCAGTATTTTATTTTTACTTAATTGACATTAAACTTTAACGATATTTAGAAGTTAAAATATAAATCAAAATTTTGTAGACAAAATTTTGATTAAAACGTCTGTGATTTATGGAATTCTTACATCATTCCATATTTCAATTAAAACTTTAACATAACAGTACAAACAATGGTGGTTTAAAAAAACTTTGAAGGTTTTTACATTGATGTGAAATAAAATAAAATTAGAAACCTATTTAACTAAATTACTTACAGAAAATTTGTTCATAGCAGATTTGTCTTGGTTGGGGAGAGGAACATCCAAGGCCATTATTACACACGTAATTATGATGGTGAGTAGTATAAAGTATTCATACAACGTATAAGATAAGGAAATTTTAGAAATATTTCATAAATAAATTTAAAAGATTAAAAATTCTATTGGTAAAATTATTGTAACAACGAAACTATCAACATTTATATCTGTCGAAGTGTTTTAAATGAAAAAAATTTTGTTGATAAAATGTAACTAACATTAACAAATAAATTTGTAAACTAAAAACTAACATATACAACTAAATTTGTATATATATATATATATATATATATATATATATATATATATATATATATATATATATATATATATATATATATATATATATATATATATATATATATATATACAGGGCCGGCGCGAGTAGATGTCACGTGGGGGGTGCCATTACAACATTTGCCGACTAAAAAAAAAAAAAAAAAGAAAAGGTCCTCGTTTTCCAAAATTTGCCGACTGCCATGACGACATTTGCCGACTGTCTAACCTATATCGAGAGGGTCGACATTTGCCGACTAACTAGTCTAAAAGAGTCCAATTTTCCGACTAAAAATCATTGATGGGTATGACACACCCCCACACCCCCTATCGCGCCGGCCTTTTATATATATATATATATATATATATATATATATATATATATATATATATATATATATATATATATATATATATATATATATATATATATACATTATGAATTTTTTAAAATAAAGTTTCCAATATAAAAAACAGATGAACTTTGGTTTGAAAACAACAGAAAAGTCATTGGTTTTATTTAATTTTTGAAATAGGTCAATTACCTTGACCTTTGATTACATACTGGCTTTTATATATCAGTGAATTATTTTTTCTTTAAAAGTATATCAACCTGGATCTCAAAAGAACCAGAATTTCATAAAAATTTCAGACAAAATAATGGGTTAAAATAAAAATAAATTGCTTTAATTTTGTATACAAAAAACAGCAATTTTTTACTAAAAATTGAAAAGGTCGTTTTTTATGATATTTTGTTTGCAATATATATTTTTTAATGTTTCAGTAGAAAAAAATTATGAATTTTGAAATCACTATAAAGGTTTTTTTGAGATCAAGGTTTATATACTTTTGAAGAAAAAAAAATTCACTGTTATATAGGAGCCAGTATGTAAACAAGGGCCATGGAGGATAACCGTTTTCATTAAAAAAATTAAAAAATAAAACCAATGACTTTTCAGTTAATTTCAAACCAAGGTTCATCTGTATTTTATATTGGAAACTGGAGATACCGAAGATTTACTAAAAAGTCACATCCCTAATATATATATATATATATATATATATATATATATATATATATATATATATATATATATATATATATATATATATATATATATATATATATATATATATATATATATATATATACAAGCATACATAACTGAAAAGATATTTTGCCTTAGTAATTTTTGCGGCTAGTAAGCGAATTTTATTCTTTGGACTTAGCAAGAATAGTGAACTATACTCCTTTTTTTGTTTTCTCACTCGATTTGAAATTTGAAAAGTGGCGATCATTCTTTTAATACTGCTACTCCGTTTTGAAGAAAAATGAGTCTTATAGAAAGAACGCTGGCTTTCATCTAAATTCAAATCAGGACTTTTACTGAATCTTTTCTTTAATGATTTTAAATGTTTTTGTTTTGTTGTTATCTCATTTCCATTTAGATCACTAAACTTTTTACCAAACTTTTTTAACTCTTTCATTTCTGAATCTAGGTATTCAAACTTCTGCAAAACAACTTCTTTGGTTTCAGAGTCACAAACATCATGCTGCATCACTGCCATTTTTTAACTTTAAAGCAAAGTATAACATAAATGACAACTAAAGCCCAGCTTATAATGTTTAGTAACAAAATTTACTGATTTCTCATTGTAGCTGATTTATATAAACTACTTTACCATTTAATCTACAAAAAAAAAATTTCTTATTTAAAATTCTTTATCGCTAAATTCAAAATTTACTTCATAGATTGCATAGAAATAAGGACATAAAAATTTAAATTCCTGTAAATTATGAAAACAATTTTAAGCGTCTAGCTAACAATACTGTGTACATAATCAAGTACATAACTACTATAAATGGTAACTATGGTTGCTACTTGCTCTACCAATGACTTGCATGTTATATAATTTTATTGTCTGGTAAATTATTATATTCGTTAGTATAAAGAACTCTAAAAGTATTATTTGTAAGTAAAGTAACAGTTGCGACGGGTAAACCAACAAAAAATTTATTTCTTAGCGTTAAGTTTGGCCTAGCTGGGTCTACGCACAAGTTTTAAAGCATCCATTATTTTACACTTTTATTTTAAACCTAAAATCAATGAAAAATCAAACAGAATTAAAAAAAAAACCCAAGTAATAAACAAAACTGCCGCAACTGAAATTAATTCAGGTTAATACAAAATTTCTCAAATACACAATTCTCAAAAGTTTTATTTTTAATCTATGTTTAAATTTTTAATATCTTTTGGCAAAGTACAAACTAACCATTCATGCAAACGAAACGTATATAACCATTTAAACAGAACTTAAGCCAATTTTTTGACAAGAAAGTTAATTAAAAAACAACAATGTTGACAGTTTGAGTAAAAATTTATTTGATAAACTGCTATGATTTCGTTTTTGAACTTTAAAAGCTAATGATCAATCTTTTTAAAATCTTCTGCTAGGTTTGGTAGATCCAAATCTTCTGCTAGGTTTGGTAGATCCAAATGCGGTAGTAATATTTCAAAATTCCAAATTATTACTACCGCATTTGGAATTCAAAATTAAAAAAAAAATAAGCTAAAGGTGTTTGTAAAATAGTTTAAATGAATTAACAACTAACAATTATCAAAAACTTAATACAATATAATTTTTTAATCCGTAAACTCAAATTTCAAACTTTTATTTACATTATTTAAACATAAATGGTCAATAAAATAGAATTTTATGGAACACATTTTAATTTCAGATTTTTTTTTTTTAATTTCGACTTTTAATTTCGAAACAATTTCTGTCTCGTTCCGACAAAAATTACAAGTTTTGGTTTTAAATAAATCCATGCTTAAACAATTAATACAAGTTGTATTAAAAAATACTGAGTCCCTAAAAAAATTAGATTTTCGGTAAAAACTCTCAGATTAGATAGATATAAGACGCCCTCATCTAGAATATGCGCCTTCTATTCGGAAAAAAAGACATTAATCTTATTGAAGGAGTACAACATAGAGCAACAAGACTCCAGGATATTCAGAGCTTCTTTATGAGGAAAGATTAAATAGATTTAATTTAACAACTTTATCTATGAGAAGAGAAAGAAGGGATCTAAATAACTTTTTTAAATTTCTTAATAATTTTAATCAGCTAAATACAGTATCTTCCCAAAAAGACTTTTGTTTACCAACTGGACCAGCTGGAAGTGTTTGTGACTATATCCACAACCATAGATATACTTCTAAGATCTGTAGACACTTGAGTAGAAGGAATTTTATTCCAATCGTGTTATTCCATTTTGAAACACTTTGCCGATTGATGTCGAACTTAATAAGTCTGTGTTAAACTTTAAAAAAAGTCTTGATAAACTCTATTATATGAATTAAAATTTCAAATTTTAATTTTTAAACTTGCTGCTAAAGTTTTTAAACTTGCTGCTAAAGTGGATTACCACTCAGTGAGCATTTGCTCACCGCAGCAATTAAATAAATAAACAAAATATCTATGTGTTACAAAATATATTGCATAGCTTTCAGCGTTTAAATATGTAAACTATAATTTAAATTAGTAGAAAATCACTTATCAAACTTGATTTTGGTTAATCAAAAGTGATTTTCTACTAATTTATTTTCAACTAATTTTTTATTGCTCTGTTCTTTTAAGAACAGAGCAATAATAAATTAGTTAAAACAAAATGTTCTTTTAAGCGCTCTCTTTTGTAGAATTTAATTTTAAACATTTAAAATTATTCGCATATTTAACATAATTTATGAAAAACATACCTCATAATGAGCTTGCAAAGAACAAGCTTTAAAACTGATATATTTTAAGTTATATTTATAAGTTTGTAAATTTAATTTTAAAAGTTAATTCTTATAAAAAGTTAATCAAAAGCTAAATTAACTAAATTAATCGGTCATTAATTAAGTTACGTTAATAAGGTGAAAAATTTAACATAAACCAAAGTTCTATAATAAAATTTGAGCTCGTTTAAATGTGATTAACCTTTCAAGCCAAGATTAACCTTTCATTTAATTTACTAAAATTAATTATATATTTACTAAAATTGTCGAAGGTTGCTAAAGTAAGCTATCAAGTAGAACTATATCAGAAAAATTCAAAATGCTAAAAGAACTCGACAAAGGAGAATCATCTGTGTCTATACCAAAGAAATATGGCATTCCAAAGCAAACATTGTCTGAATAGTCTATAGTTTTGTGAGACTGCAGAAAAATAAAACTACGTTCCAGAATTTTATGCAAGTAGTGGAAAACAGAAAAATGTTACACAACCGAAAAAAAGGCACAAACAATCAAATGGTACATTAAATTTTGACCGGATTGTCTATTTCTTCTAGTTTTGATTTAAAAGAGTTTACTTTACATATTTTTTTTTATTTTTTTATTTTTTTTAATTTAATATATATTTGCTGTTTATATAATAAGAAATATAATTACAAAGAAACGTTTACATACAAAAAAAAGTGAATTTATAATAAACAGGCAGGGGCTCAAAGAAGATACGGATGACTAAAGTCACCACAATCTTTTCATAGAGCCCCTAGGTGGGCTTTACAAGTTAAAAAAAAATAGTATCTCCAATATAATAAAAAGGTTAAAGCTTGCATAAATATTTCCATTAAATCAGGAAAGTAAATAACATCATATAGTTCTATCAATATTCGTTAAAATATATTGGCAACTCTGTTAAGTATCAAAATAAGAGCCAATTAACAAGTAAAAAAGCTAAGAATAATAGAACTCATTTTATTATTTCGAAAAATCAAGAAAACTATTTATCTAATTTAAAAATTTCATTTTTTATGATAAACTTAAAGGAATTTAATGATTTTACAGTATTTAAATTTTTTGTTTTTTGAAAAGTGTTCCATAGTTTTGGTCCACGGTATGATATTCCATATTCAGAATACTTACTATTGATTCTTGGTAATTTATAAGTATTCCATTGGTTTATTCTAAGAGAATATTTTTTGTTTACATTTATTGTAAATTTATCATTAAAGTTTTTTGGAATCAAGCTGTTGTTACATTTATACATAAAAATTAGGTGTTGGTAAATGTTGATTTCATATATATTCATCATTTTCATGTCTTCCATTAATGGTTTTGCATGTTCATATTTTTTATATATATATAAGTCTGCATGCATGTTTTTGTAAAAAAAATATTTTTTTAAGTTTTGTTGGTTGAGTACTAGCCCATGTGATATTGGCATAGTATATGAAACAATGTATTAGGCCAAAATATACTAATTTCAGACTTTCTGATGTTACATATGGACAAATACGTTACATTAGACCAATTGTTTTACTAATTTTTGATTGAATATAATTAATATGGGGAAGCCATTGATCGCTAATATAACATCAGCTTTTTCGTTAAAATTTGAATTTACTTTATATTTTTTAATTTAGTGTTAAAATTTTTGACTTGATTTTTAACATGTTTAAGCTACAATATTTGAATTTCAATTTATCATAGTTAAGGTGGTTCAAACCCTTACTTTTAGTCAAAAATCAAAAAATTAATTTCTTGGCTTTTTGTTATGCAAAATTTTATTATAAATTCAAATATATTATTGGAATTTTGAAAAATATTGAATATGTTGATTAAAATTCCTTTTTATGCAACCCTATAAAAATTAAGCCCTCGCAACACCTTAGCAACGACTCCTCAATATTGAAATAAACCTACATTACAAGCTTGAAAACTTGCATTATCAAGTTGGAAAAAGTGTTATTGAGGCTGAAAAAGCAAGACAATATTTATTTAAAATCCATACTTTGAAATAACATTTTTTGCCTCATGAAATTAGAGTTGGTTAATTTGCAGTTTTTACAGTTGCCAAGTGATTTTTATTTGTTTATTGTTATTGTTGTTATATATTCCAAATAAAAATAAATTAAGGGTGTTTAATTTTAGAGGAAATTAACTCATGCCTAGATCAACACTTTCAAAAACATAAAAGAAAGTTCTGCGGTAACTAAACACACAGCAGAGTTTACAAAAATAATTTTTTATTAATAATGCTACGTAAATGGACAATCAAAGTAAAACATTAATAAATAAAAAGTGCACTAAAAGGGGAACTGAGAGAAGAAAGAAACTGAGAACAATTAGAAAAGAATTTGTAGAGGAAGAAAAACAAAGTGAAATTATTCCAGCCTATGCAGCTGAGGCTTATTAATTATTTAATTGTATTTTTTTCTTTGTTTTTTAGTTTAAAACTATTTTCTTTTTTTAGTTATTTTCAGTTTTTCAGTAGTTATTTTAAATATCTATTTTTAGTTATTTTCGGTTTTCAGTAGTTATTTTAAATATCTTTTGATCTGATAGTCTAAATAATTTGAAATTTTCAGGGTAATTTTATTATTTATTTACTTAAATTAATTATATATTTACTAAAAATGTCGAAGGTTGCTAAAGTAAGCTATGAAGTAGAACTATAAAAGAAAAATACAAAATGCTAAAGAACTCGACAAAGGAGAATCATCTGTATCTATATCAAAGAAATATGGCATATTCCAAAGCAAAAATTGTCCGGATGGTCAAAAGAAAAAAACACAATATATTCAGAAGTTGAGTTTGTAAATTTACCGACTTTGTGATTTACCGGTAATTCGGTGAATGAAAATTGTAATACCGGTAAATCGGTACATTACCGATAAA